TGTTATCAGCCGTGGGACAAAAAGACTTAAGCTATATCTTCAGAGGAAATAGGATTCAACAGCAAGTCTAGGCTTCATTGGCCTATGGCAATAGTTACCAGGCAGGATATGTGATGGATTTTTAATTCCTCTGTCATCTACTCAGAGAAACCTAAAACTCTAGATGCTTTTTCCCTTGAGTTTAAGGCTTTGAAATCTGTGAAAGTAAAAATCCCCTAAGGCAGGAATCTTTTTCAGTCACCAGGTTTCCAGATTTTTCTTTTTCTTTTTTCTGAGATGGAGTCATGCTCTGTCACCCAGGCTGGAGTGCGGTGGTGTGATTTCAGCTCACTGCAACCTCTGCCTCCCAGGTTCAAGTGATTCTCCTGCCTCAGCCTCCTGAGTAGCTGGGATTACTGGTGCCCACCACCATGCCCGGCCCATTTTTGTATTTTTACTAGAGATGGGATTTCACCATGTTGGTCAGGCTGGTCTCGAACTCCTGACCTTGTGATCCACCTGCCTCGGCCTCCCAAAGTTCTGGGATTACAGATGTGAGCCACCACGCCCAGCTAGATTTTTTTTTTTTTTCTAAATAAAGCTGCTTTTTCTTACTATAGAAAAAAGTACTTGCTTATTACAACCCAGTGGCTTTCATTTTAGTTTTACTGCCATTCATAAGAAATATATTTTACAAATTTTATAATAAAAAATTTCAGGAAATAATACTCTTATTATTTGCTATACTCTTCTATTCACTTTTCTCATTTAAATTAAAGCTGATTATAATCCACTAGATTGATTTCATGATCCACTGGTGGGTCACAACCCCTAGCTGACAAAATGTTGTTATAAATTCATCTATTCACTCAACTTCACATTTGTTGTCAACTGTGTGCCAGGCACGGTTGCTAGGTGTGGGGATATACCTCAGTTCCTATAGTCAATACAACTTAGAGACCAATGAGAAAACAGACTGTAAATAAGCTCGATAAAAGCAAAATGAATTCTTTTTTTCCTTGGAGACAGTGTCTCACCCTGTCGCCCAGGCTGGAGTGCAGTGGCATGATCATAGCTCAATGCAGCCTCAATCTCCCGGGCTCAGGCAATCCTGTTGCCTCAGACTCCTGAGTAGATGGGACTACAGGTATGCAGCACCATGCCCAGCTAGTTTTTCTGACTTTTAGTATACAAGAGGTCTTGCTATGTTGCCCAGGCTGGTCTTGTACTCCTGAGTTCAAGCAATCCTCCTCCTTCAGCCCCCTCAAAGTGCCAAGTTTACAGGTGTGAGCCACCATGCAGCCACAATGACTCATGTTAAGAGACTCTCCAGAAGCAGTGGGAGTTCATAGCAAGAGTTATTCTTCTAGTCCAGTGATTCAGGTAGCAGTTTTAAACAGAGAAGAGATCTGACTAGGTCTACATATTAGAAAGATCATTCTGACTGTAATATAGAGAAGCAATTGGAAGGGCCAGGGAAACCAGGTAGAAGTCTGTGGTAGTGGTCCCTGTGGGACCTAATGATGGCCCTGACTGAGGAGCACTAGTGAAAATGGAGAGGAGACATGATGGGGCTTGGTGACTGACTGGATGCTGGGTGAGGGAAAAGGAGACAGTAATGATTACTGGCTGTCTAGCTTGAGAGTTGACCATGGTGCCATTTATTGAGACAGGAAAGTGTTGGGGATAAACAGGTTCCAGGGAGCAGATTATGAGTTCAGTTTTGGATATGTTGAGATGCAGGGAGACTAATAAACACGTGGTGACATCTATTAGCGTTTCTTACGGATTTTAGAAGTTCAAAAGAAGACTCTGGCCTAGAAGCAGTTTAGGAGTCTTCAGAGTGGCTGATGTTTCAGGCCAAGGGAGTGAGTGAGATCGTGAGTGAGATTGCATAGAGAGACAGTATTGGGTAAGGAGAGAAGGCTATCTAGAACAGAGCTCCGAGGACACCAGTATTTATGACAATGTTTCTCAAAGCGTGGGCCATGTGTAGTTAAAATGCATGGACCTGTTACTTGACGGCAGGTGGCTTACAACAAAGAGGTTTATTAACCTCATGAAATACAGAGTCTGTAGGTAGTGCTATCAGAGTTGGTGCAAAGATTCAGCAGTGTCCTTGGAGAACTGGGCTCTTTCCATCTCTCTGTTATGCCAGCCTCAGTGTGTTGATGGAAGGAAGCCTCTTGGTTGCGCTACGGCTGCTTCAACTCCAAGCACCATGAACAGGCTAGATGAAGATGGACTTTCAAAGATTAAAAGGAGGGAAAGAAATTACAGAGAACAATTGATAGACTCTATTAGTCATCTAGACAATCTGTCTCCATCTAGATGTTGAATATTTACTTTGAGTGTGTTTATAGTGTAAAATTTTATATTTAAATCCTTTCTTATGATTAAAAAAAAAAAAGCAGCAGGATTTGGGTATTCAGTGAAGCGTGGCTAAAAACAGAGATACAAAGGAAGCAGGTGCTGAAGGAAAACCCCAGCCACTTGACTTGGCCAAGGCTCATCATTAATTACTACTACTTTGGGTCTCTCTGCTCCCATTTCTTCTTTTTGGATGTGAGTAAAGCTTTGCCAGGTCCAAAACAGCAGAGAAGGAAATGAAGGTGTTTAGGGGTTAAGTGTTAAGTGCTCTTCTCTTTGATGAAATTGGAGAAGTGCTGGCATTCTCAGTATCTTCCCCTAAAGCAAAGTGTCTTAGTATTTGGAACAGAGATGGAGGAGGCCAGAATACCAATAGCAAAACAAAGTATAAATTGAATAACTGAAAGAGAGAAATTGCAACTTAATTAGGACAATTATATTATCAAAATTGGTCTGCACAGGGCTTGGGGAAATAGACATCATCTTGTGTGTGATGTTGCAGTGTTCATGAGGTGGCAAATATGGTCAGCTGGGAGCATTTGGAGGCTTTCCATCTGGGGAGTGCTATTTGTGGCTCTATGAGAATACTCCCAGTGTGGAAAAGAGTGTTCTTTTAAGGAGATTTTAATTATCTCCAACTTGCTCACTTCTCATCTCTCTTTGATCCTTGCTTGTCTTTGAACATCTGACTTTAGGGTGGTGTTATGCTAACTCCCATGGATCACCGTGAATAGCCCCAAACAGGGAGCCACAGGAATCCTGTGAAAGCCTACAGAACTACCCTCACACCTAGAAAGAGGGGCCACTGTTCTGAGCTCTGGGCTTTAGAGGGCTCTGCATAGGACAGGCACATATAGAAACCTACATTCAAGAAGATGTGAGCCCCGGCCAGGTGCAGTGGCTCACACCTGTGATCCTAGTACTTTGGGAGGCCAAGGTGGGTGGATCACCTGAGGTCAGGAGTTTGAGAACAGCCTGGCCAACAAGGTGAAACCATATCCCTACTAAAATATAAAAATTAGCCAGGTGTGGTGGCATGTACCTGTAGTCCCACCTACTCAGGAGGCTGAGGTGGGAGAATTGCTTGAACCAGGAGGTGGAGGTTGCAGTGAGTCGAGATAGTGCCAGTACACTCAAGCCTGGATGACAGAGTGAGACTCCATCTCAAAAAAGAAAAAAAAGAAAAAAAAGAAAAACCACATGGGCGCTTGATCTGGAGCTCAGCTCTGGAGCAGCAGGAACCATAACCCTAAAGATTCGATCTCATCATGGTTCACCACATCTTCTACCCTTTGCCTTCAAAACAAAAGATGATTGTGCTCAAATGCTAGAAAGGTTTGTGGGTCATGCTGCTGCTAAGACCAGACACAGACACTGGCTTCGAGTGCAGGAAGGACTGGGGCAGCAGCAGTGAGGTAGGAGGAAAGGTGACTTGTCAAAATCTCTCAGCATGAATGCAAGATTCGTGCATGATGAAATATGTTTCCCAGTGATGCTGAGCATCCTTTTTTTGCTTCTTTTAATGCCTTAATTTATAATTCACAGGTATTTATATATGGGAATAGTATTTGCAAGAGCTACATATGGTGGCTGGAGAACATTGTGCAATATGAATCCTGATTACTCTTAAATTTATATATGTGTAGATCTAGATGAAACATGAATGAAGCCTGGTACCAACTTGTCATATTACTGGATGGATCTAGAGATTGTTTGAGAGATGGTAAAAACAGCCACAGAAGCGATAGTAAAGTATATGAGATTAAAATACTCCATAACATTTTCTGGCCCATGATAATGTTTGAAAGTGATGTGAAAATCTTGCTTTTAACAACTTAGTGATTTTGCTGAGAAGGCAAGACAATCAAATGTTGTGAAACAATACTTTGATATTTATATATTTAGGTTTTCTGTATTTTTCAGCATCTCGTAACACCTTTGCAGTGCTTTCTTCATACCTTCGTAAACTAACGAACAAAACACTTCATGCTATTGCTGGCAACGTGACCTACCAGCCAACAGTTGTATTTCAGCATCTTTGCTGAATTTGCACAGTAACATTTGCTCATTTGAAAATTTTGTGGCATTTTGGCCCTTAACTCATAAAAACGAATAAAAAACAGAAAAATAAAACTTATTATTAGCATAACTCAAATTTAATATAGTGAAACTAGCTATGGAAGTCAATAGGATTATCAAAGCACCAAATATTAACCCTTATCAGAAGGTTTTTGGACTTAAAACACATCCACTAGTAGTCATTTGTGAAAAAGAATACAATTAAAGATGATGAGAATAGCACTAAATTTCATATCAAATTTGTCTCAAACTTCATTTTTCACAAGATGGTCATAATTCTAAATGGATACTGAGATTAAAAAAAAAAGTTACTATTTTTTTTTTCCCAAGGTGGCCAATTAGAGTCTTCTAGAGTGCCTTGGCCCCTTGGAAATAGCAAGATAGTGTGCAAAGATCATCTCTGTGGGTTTTCATCCAAAAAGGAAAATGGGAATCCACCAGAATTGTGAAGGACACCCCAGATCCCAGGGAGGAGAATGTGGACAAACAGCCCCAGTGATGGCATGCAACTGATAAAAATGCGTGAAGCCCCAGTACATGCGAGAGGCAGGCAGCCTCCTTCTACAACTCACCTTTCCACCTGGGATCCAAGCGACCCAGGCTGAGGGAGAGCACTTTGTTTCTCACAAGCCCTGGAACTAACTTGGGGAAGTGGCTTGGAAATGCTGTGAGGAAAAGACACAGAGAAAAGTTGCAAACATTTTCCAAGACTCAGGACTGAGAGCAGGGTACCATTTTTAAATCAGACACATACAAAGTCAGCCATTCTTTGGTGACCTAGCACTGTGGCCACACAGGCATTTTAGTCTCGAGTCAGCAATTGGAGCACCTGCTCTGGCTTAGGGTAGGGGTCTCCATAGCCAGAACTGCACAAAGGGCCTCAGCAATAGGTGCTGAGATTGTGCTCCCTCCCTTTGCAGGCCTGAGGTGGGAGGAGAACTGCCACAGCTACAGTTTCTTCTGTGTGATGAGACTTGCAGCCAGGGCTAGCATGGTGGCCTGGAACCAGTCTGCATATGTCATTGCATGGTAACCCAGTGTACTCCCCAGAGATTGTGGTGCAGCAGAGCCCTCTCTGCTCTACCCTTGGACAGAATCCAAGGATTTGGAGCACTTGCTTGTCTGGACCAGCAGTGGGAGCTGCCTCACCCTTCATAGACGTAGACTGTGGTACAACGTGGCTCTCTCGGCTCCACACCCAGGCAGATCTCAAGGTATCTGGAGCACTCTCTTCCTTGATCAGCAGCCTGAGTTGTCCTACCTTTCCCATGCATGATTGTGGTGCAAGGCGGCCCTCTCCACTCCACCTGTGGGCAGATCTCCAGGCATTTGGAGCATCTGCTTACATGGACTAGCAGCCTGAGTTGCCCTACCCTTCCTGTGCAGAGATCTGGGTGTGGGGAGGCCCTCTCCATTTTGTACCCCTGCAGATCTCCACGCATTAGGTGCACTTGCTCATCTGGTTCAGCAGCCTGAGCTGCCCCACTCTTCCAAGACATAGATCATGGTGCAGCAAGTTCCTCTCTGGTCCATGACCAGGCAGATTATCAGACATTCAGAGTACCCATTTGCCTTAATCAGCAGTCTGAGTTACCCAAACCCTCCTGCACAGAGATCTTGGTACAGTGGGGCCCTCTCTCCTCCATGCTCAGGCAGATCTCCACGCATTTGGAATACTTGCTTGCCTGGAACAGCAGCCTGAGCCACCCACCCTTCCTGTGCATAGATCTGGGTGCATTGGGCTTCATGTTCAGATAGATGTCCAGGCATCTGGAACACTCACTCTCCTGGAGTAGTTTAGGCCACTCCCATCCCTGTACAGGAAACTTGGGGTCAAGGGAATTTTCCAAGCACCTCTGGGTGCTTGGCAGTGGCTACCCACTGCATTCTCTCTTGGTGCTGGTGCTTGTGCCTGCCATCAGGGAACCTGTAGTTGGACCTGCTCAGTCCAGCTCTGCCCATTTTGGCCCCTACCTCCCTGTGTCTGAGCAGGGAGCTCAGACCACTGTGAACTTCATGAATCAGCTCATTGCCTGAGGTAACAGTTTTTCCCAGTAAACAATGATCAAGTATAAACCCAGTCATTGGCCACAGCAGGCTCTTAGCTATCAGCACCATCTACTGGCTCGTAGGTTGAACAGCCCAATATAAAACCTGCTGGCAGAAGTGCATAGGGTTATAGAATCAAAGCCAAAAGACCCTACCCAGCATTCTTTACAGTCACACTCTCTAGAGAGTGGGGAAAAGGGAAAGGGAAAGAAAAAATCCCAATAATATTATAAGGAAAGAAAGAAAAATACATAATCCTACCCATATGAAAATAACTATAAAATTAAAATGCCAGCATCTCCAAATGAGAAGGAACCAGTGAAAGAATTCTGGCACCATGAAAAATCTGAATATAGTGACACCACCAAAGGATTAAACTTGCTCTCCAGCAGTGGTCTATAGCCAAAATGGAAACTCAGAAAGAACAGATACATAATCTAAAGCATGGATTACAAGGAAGATCAATGAGATCCAAGACAAGGTTAAAAATCAACAACAACACAAAACTTCTAAAGCAATCCAGGAAATGAAAGAAGAGACAAACATCTTAAAAAGAAATCAATCAGAAATTCTGGAGTTAAAAAACTCACTTAAGGAATTTCAAAATACAATTGAAAGCTTTGTCAATAGACTGGACCAAGCAGATGAAAGAATTTCAGAGCCTGAAGACGGATCTTTTGAACTAACTCAGTTAGAAAAAAACAAGGGAAAAATTTTTTAAGATGAACAAAGGCTTTGAGAAATATGGGTTATGTAAAACCAAACCTATGAATTACTGGCATTCCTATGAATGAAAAAAGTGAACAACCTGGAAAACATATTTGAAGGAGTAATTCAAGAAAGGTTTCTTAATCTTGCTAGAGTAGACATCCAGATACAAGAAATCCAGAGAACATCTAGAAGATACTATACAAAATGAACATCATCAAGGTATATAGTCACCAGACTGTCTAAGGTCAATGCTAGAGAAAATAGTTTTTCCCCCCCCAAGATGGAGTCTCACTCTGTCACCCAGGTTGGAGTGCAGTGGCATGATCTTGGCTCACTGCAGCCTCCTCCTCCTGGGCTCAAATGATTCTCATGCCTCAGCTTCCTGAGTAACTGAGACTACAGGCACATGCCACCACACCCAGCAAATTTTTATATTTTTAGTAGAGATGAGGTTTTGTCATATTGGCCAGGCTGGTCTTGAACTCCTGACCTCAAGTGATCTGCTGACCTCGGCTTCCTAAAATGCTGGGATAACAGGCGTGAGCCACTGAGCCCAGCAGAAAACATCTTAAAGGCAGCTAGAGAAAAAGGTCAGATTGTGTACAAAGGGAACCCATCAGGCTAACAGTGGCTGTCTCAGCAGAAACCTTACTTGCCAGGGGAGGCTGGAAGTCTGTTTTCAGCATTTTTAAAGACAAGAAATTCCAACCAGGAATGTCATATCCCTCCAAATTAAGTTTTATAAGCAAAGGAGAAATAAAATATTTCCTAGATAAGCAAGAGCTAAGGGAATATATTACCACCAGACTAGCTGTACAAAAGCTCCTTAAAGGAGCCCTAAACATGGAAATGATAGAATGATATCTGCTACCACAGAAAAATACATTTTTAAGTACATAGCCCACAGACCCTATGAAGCAACCACACCATAGAAATTACAAAACAACCAGCTAACAACCTCATGATAGTATCAAAACCTTGAATATCAATATTAATCTTGAATGTAAATGGTCTAAACACCTCACTTGAAAGGCACAGGGTGGCAAGTTGGATAAGAAAATAAGAGCTACCTTCAAGTGACCATTCTCACACATTATGATATCCACAGGCTCAAAGTAAAGGGTTGGCGAAAGATCTACCATGCAAACAGAAAACAAAAAATGAGTAGGGGTTGCTATTCTTATATCAGATAAAACAGGCTTTTAACCAAAAATAGTAAAAAAGGACAAAGAAGGGCATTACATAATGATAAAGAGTTCAATTCAACAAGAAGACTTAACTACCCTAAATATATACATAGCCAACATTGAAGCACCCAGATTCATAAAACAGGTATTTCTTTCTAGACCTACAAAAAGACTTAGCCACACAATAGTAGTGGGGGACTTCAACACCACATTGACAGCATTAGAAAGATCACTGAGGCAGAAAACAACAAAGAAATTCTAGACTTAACTTCAATACTTGACGAATTGGGCCTAATAGACATCTACAGAATATTCCACCCATCAACCATAGAATATACATTCCTCTCATCTGCACACAGAACATACTCCAAGACTGACCACGTTTGGCTATAAAGTAAGTTTTAAGAAATAAAAAAAAAATAATAAAAATCATGCCAACCATACTTTCAGACCACAGTGGAATAAAAATAGAAATCATTGTCAAGAAAAGTGCTCAAAACCACACAAGTACATGGAAATTAAACAACTTGCTCCTGAATCACTTTTGGGTAAACAATGGAATCAACGTAGAAATAAAAAAAATTCTTGGAAATTAATGAAAACAGAAACAATATATCAAAATCTCTGGGACACACCAAAAATAAAGAGGAAAGTTTATAGCAGTAAACACCTACCTTAAAAAGTTAGAAAGATCTTAAATTAATGATCTAACATCACGCCTACAGGAACTAGAAAAAGAACAAACTAATCCCAAAGCCAGCAAAAAAAAAAAAAAAAAAAAAAAAAAAAGAAATAATTAAAATCAGAGCAGCGCTGAATGAAATTCAGACCCAAAAACCCATACAAAGAATCAACGAAACCAAAAGCTGGTTCTTTGAAAAAATAAACAAGACTGATAGTCTGCTAGCTAGATTAACAAAGAAAACAAGAAGATTCAAGTAAGCCTAATCAGAAAGGACAAAGGTGACATTACAACCGAGAAAAATACAAAAGATCCTCAGATTATTATGAACACCTCTATGTACAAAAACTAGAAAACCTATAGGAAATTGGTAAATTCCTGGAAACATACCACTTCCCAAGATTAAATCAAGAAGAAATCAAAAGGCTGAAGAGACTGACATTAAGTTCCAAATTGAATCATTAATAAAAACCCTAACCACCAAAAAAAAAAAGGCCCAGACCAGAATTCACAGCCAAATTATACCAGATGTACAAAGAAGAGCTGGTACCAATTCTACTGAAACCATTCCAAAAAACTGAGAAGGAAGGGCTTCCCCTTATCTTATTGTATGAAGCCAGTTTTGGTATCACTCTAATTCCAAAACTGGGCAAAGACACAATGAAAAAAGAAAACTACAGGCCAGTATCCCTATGAACAGACATGAAAATCCTGAACAAAATACTAATAAACTGAATCCAACAGCACATCAAAAAGCTAATTCACCATAATCAGGTAGGCATCAAGGTTGGTTAAACATATGCAAATCAACAAATGTGATTCATCATATAAATAGAATTGAATTAAAAACAAAAATCAGGCCGGGTGCAGTGGCTTGCGCCTGTAACCCCAGCACTTTGGGAAGCTGAGGCAGATTGATCACCTGAGGTCAGAAGTTTGAAACCAGCTTGGGCAATATGGTGAAACCCTGTCTCTACTAAAAATACAAAAATTAGCTGGGTGTGGTGGCACACACCTGTAATCCCAGCTCAGGAGGCTGAGGCAGGAAAATCACTTGAACTCTAGAGATGGAGGTTGCAGTGGACTGAGGTTGCACTACTGCATTCCAGCCTGGGTGATAGAGTGAAACTCTGTCTCAAAAAAAAAAAAAAAAAATTCTATGATCATCTCAATAGATGCAGAAAAAGCTTTTGATAAAATCCAACATCCCTTTGTGATAAAATGTCTCAAGATACTAGGCATCACAGGAAAGTATCTCAAAATAATGAGAGCCATTTATGATAAATCCACAGCCAACATTATATTGAACAGGCAAACAGAGGAAGCATTTCTACTGAGAACAAGAACAAGACAAAGATGCCCATTTTTACCACTCCTATTCAACATAGTACTGGAAGATTTTGCCAGAGCAATCAGGCAAGAGAAAGAAACAAAAGGCATCCAAATAGGAAAAGAAGCCAAACTATTTCTCTTTGCTGATGATATGATTCTATACCTAGAAAACCTTAAAGACTGCCAAAAGCCTCCTAGAACTGGTAAATGACTTATTTTATATGTTTATATGTCTATTCTATTCTTATTCTTAATGTTATTCTATACAGGAATAACATTCAAGCTGAGAGCCGAATCAAGAACACAATTCCATTTACAACAGCCACACACACATACACACAATACCTAGGAATACATCTAACTAGGGAGGTGAAAGATAGCTACAAGAAGAACTGTAAAACACTGCTGAACAGATGACACAAATGGAAAAATATTCTATGATAATGCATAGGAATACTAAATATCATTACAATAGCCATACTGCCCAAAACAATGTACAGAGTGAACACTATTCCTATCAAACTACCAATGCCATTTTTCACAGAACTAGAAAAAAGTATTCTAAAATTCCTATGCAACCAAAAAGGAGCCTAAATAGCCAAAGCAATTCTAAGCAAAAAGAGAAAGCCTGGAGGCATCTCATTACCTGACTTCAAACTATACTACAAAGCTACAGTAACCAAAACAGCATCATACTGGTACAAAAACATAGATCAATGAAACAGAATACCAAATCCAGAAATAAAGCCACACACCTACAGCCATCTGATATTTGACAAAGTCAACAAAAATAAGCAGTGGCGAAATCCCTATCCAATAAATGGTGATGGGATAGCTGGTCAGCCATATGCAGAAGAATGAAACTGGACACTTACCTTTCACCATATATACAAAGATGGATTAATGATTTAAATATAAGACCTCAAACTATAAGAATCCTAGAAGAAACCTAGGAAACACTATTTTGGACATGGGCCTTGGGAAATAATTTATGACTAAGCCCTCAATAGTAAATAGATAACCTATATAATGTGAGAAAAATATTCGCCAACTCTGCATCTGACAAAGGTCTAATATCCAGGTTCTCTAAGGAACTTAACTGAATGAGCAAAAACCAAATAAACCCTTTTAAAAATGGTCAAAACACATGAACAAACACTTCTCAAAAGAAGACACACAAGTGGACAACATGAAAAAATGCTCAACATCACTAATCGACAGAGAAATGCAAATCAAAACTACTATAACATCTCACACCAGTCAGAATGTCTATCACTAAAAAGTCAAAAAATAAGATATGTGCCAGGAGCAGTGGCTCACATCTGTAATTCCGGCACTTTCAGAGTCCAAGGTAGGAGAATCGCTTGAGTTCAGGAATTTGAGGCCAGCCTGGGCAGCATGGTGAGTTCCCATCTCTGTAAAACATACAAAAATTAACTGGGCATGGTGGCATACGCCTGTAGTTCCAGCTACTTGGGAAGTTGGGGTGGGAGGATCGATTGAGCCCAGGAGGTTGAGGTTGCAGTGTGCCATGATTGCACGACTGCACTCAAGCCTGGGTGACACAGCAAGACTCTGCCTCAAATGAACAAACAAAAAACAGATACTAGCGAGGCTGTGGAGAAAAGGGAATGCTCATACACTGTTAGTGGGAATGTAAATTGGCCCAGCCACTTTGGAGATTTCTCAAAGAAATTAAAACAGAACTACCATTCAACCCAGTAATTCCATTATTGGGTATATATCCAAAAGAAAATAAATCATTCTACAAAAAGATAGGTACATTCATGTTAATCACAGCATTATTCACAATAGCAAAGACATGGAATCAATCTAAGCGTCCATCAGTGGTGGACTGGATAAGGAAAATATGGTACATATACACCATGTAATAATATGCAGCCATAAAAAACCCTGAAATCATGTCCTTCACAACAACATGGACGTAGCTGGAGGCCATTATCCTAAGCAAATTAACAAAGAAATAGAAACCAAATACTGCATGTTCTCACTTACAAGTGGGAGGTAAACATTGGCTACTCAAGGACATAAAGATGGCAACAATAGAAACTGGGGGCTATTACAGCGGGGATGGAGAAGGGAAAGGGCTGAAAAACTACTTATTGAATACTATACTCTGTACCTGGGTGACAGGATCAATCATACTCTAAGCCTCAGTATCACGGAACATATCCAGGTAACAAACCTGCACATGTACCCCTGAATCTAAAATAAAAATGGAAATTATTTTAAAAATACAGAAATTAAATTGTGAAGAAGATAGACTATCAAGACCTTTTCTGTTACAGACCAGCGAAGTTCAAATTTAGTTTCTTGGAAACGATTTTTAAATAGCTAAGAGAGTCAACAGAAAACTGCGGACTGTAGGGAAGTAACTGCTTCACACTTCTCAAATCTTCTCAACTTTAGTATCTGTCTTATCTATGACTTTAGATTTTACTCTTATGTTGCTGTTACTTTTGCTAAGGAAGTATTACGGTATACATAGATACTGTCTATTCTATTTAAAAAATATCTAGGAAAATACATTAAGATCCGTTTACTACTTATAACTATTAGTGGTTTCTTGTGTGTGTGCTGGTTTGACAAGTAGAGGTTGTTTCCTAACCAAAAACATAATAGAAAAGAAAGATTTAGTACAGAATTACCTGTGCAAACAGTTGTGACAAAAACACAGAGAGACAAATGAAAATTTAAGCTACTTATGTTTATTAACTGATTTACATTTGACAAAACAAAGATAGGTGCACAAAGAGCTGTTTGACAAAGTCAAATCCCAGGTATCAAACAACAGCATTCCCCTGGCTGCCACAGAGGGCACCTGTGCCCACTCTGAGGAGATGTGTTCTGCCATTCGACCACTCAGTCATCACACTGCACTGCTGTTGGGTTGCATGTGGAGTACAGGTCTGCATACATCTGACATCAGAGAACCGGCCCACTAAACACGAAGAGCCCTAGTTATAGACGTCCCAAGTTGATGTTAGTAACCACCAAGTACTAATTCTGTACTAAAATGGTCAGAAAAGATAACAAGCTTTGAGTACTGTGTAAAATTATACCTTTTAAAGACAACAGGCTCTTGTAAGCTGCCTTGTAACTTGTTTCCTCCCTTGCCAAAGTCTATTCATTTATGTCAAATCAAGAACATATAGCACAACGTTTTCTAAAAAGCTACTTTAACAATGGTCATTAACTTCTCCCTAAGGACCCATGCCTAAGGTTATTTACATAAGATTTGGGATCTTCATAATTTAGGAGAACTTTCAATTCTGAGCTCAGGAAGATATCTCTCCTACTAGATAATAGGATACTCAGAAATACTAGAGGCATACTCACTTCTTGAAGGAGAAAAAAAATATTGAGCTTTTCTATACTGACATGAAAGTACATATACAATTTTTATCATAGAAAAAACTAAAATGTGAATAGTACCAAAATATAACAGATAAATTGGGAGGAACCAGCTATTAGGCTTCAGCTCTTCTTACTATATTTTGCACATCATTCTAGTATTATAGAGATTATCAGGACACACCAAAAAGCATTTCAGGTGGAAACTTCAAAACAGCAAAACTCAGTTTTAAGACAAGATTCATTTCTAGAGGCATTACACATCAGTATACAATTAAGGTGTTTCTGGTGGAACATTAACATCAATATACTTTTAAAAAATCTAAGTCTATTTTTTTTTTTTGAAATCAGATGTGCTTATTTGGCTGCTAATATGCCCCCACCACCTTGCCTCCAAAGTGATCATTTTGTCATTAATTATAAAAAAGAATACAAATTATACTCAACACACAACATGGCAAAACCTAGTTCAATTTAGTTTTATGTAATACACTTAATTGGACAATTTTTGTACCACTCTCTGGCCCTACAGTTTCCTACTTCCTGACATTTCTTGGAAACTGCAACTATCCAGGCAATAGGAACATTAATTACTTTCTTAGAGAACAAATAAACAACTTTAAGAATTGGCTAAAGTAAGCACCCCATAGTCACTTTATGAAATAGAAATTCAAACAGCACTTTTAAAAAGTGAACTGGAATATGTGGGAAATGTAAACAGCAGGGATTCTTCTACTTAATGCCTGCCCCACTCAGGGACACTTATATTTACATATGAACCTGTTGGAATCCTTTCTGAATGTGTACGCTCTATTGACCTCAGCATGACTGAGTGAAGAGGACAAAAGGGAGAGACCATCTCCAACCATTTGTTTTTGTGGAATTTATTTAGAAAAATTTTATTAAGAGATTCTAAGAAGTATGAGAAACTAACACATTTTTACCACTCTATGCAGGCTTTTCTAGCCTTTTGAGCACATAGCTTTAAGCAGGGGGGCTGGCGGGGGGCGCCTCAAAAGGAGAGAGGAAGGACCCTCCCTCCTTGGCCTGCTAATAGGTATGCCTATGGGAACCATAGGAGTAAAAGTCAAGAATCCTTCAGAAAACTGCCTTTAAGTCAGGACAAAGGAACAAAACATTTGCAAATAAAGCACCAAAAAGATCAAGTAATTTACTTCCCATTTTCATAAACAAAATAATTAGTTCCCTCTCTCACCTTTTCTCTATCATGTCTTTTGTATAAAGGCATTTCTTTCCGAACTGTGGGCTGCCTAGACAAAGCCATGTCATCTGATGAGAAGCAGACTTTGCTCAGCAACATTGAGAGAAAACAGATCTACTTCTTTCCATTTCTTAGCCTATGACAACTGCTGAATGCTGAAACCTAACCCCAAAGCCTCACTTTGCCATTTCATACAGTTTGCATTAAAAAAAAAAAAAAAGAACCTTAGAGAAAAAGCAGCAGCTTTGACTCCTCCCTTAAAAAGTTTATTCTCTAATTCTATAAATGTCAAGAACAAGGCAGATGTGTTTTAATTTATTTTACATTAGGGAAAAACCACAATCTCAAAGCAAGCACCTGGGTTTATAATAATTTAATGTGCCTGAGAATTTTTGTGCAAATACATGTCACCTTTCATTAAAAATATGCATAGCGCACTTTGGAAAAAGTTGGTTTAGTTGCAACCAACTTTTCTTACAAAAAAATTTTACATATATAAATATATAACATTCCCTAATTCCTATTGATTGCACTTTTGCACTTCTGGCTTAACCCCTTCCAGCCTCCAAGGAATTTTTAAAAACATGCAATTATGTTTGTATTCCTTGGCTACTGCACTTATTCAGAAGAAATATTCTATAAACAGGTTTGCTTGGTTCCAATTTACTCACATTTTCCTTTTTTTTTTTTTTTTTGAGATGGAGTCTTGTTCTGTCACCAGGCTGGAGGGAAGTGGCGCAATCTCGGCTCACTGCAACCTCCGCCTCCTGGGTTCAAGCGATTCTTCCACCTCAGTCTCCCAAGTAGCTGGGACCACAAGCACGTGCCACCATGCCTGGCTAATATTTCTGTATTTTTAGTAGAGATGGGGTTTCACTGTGTTGGCCAGAATGGTCTCAATCTCTTGACCTTGTGATCCACCCACCTCAGCCTCCCAAAGTGCTGGGATTACAGGCGTGACCCACCATGCCCAGCCTCACATTTTCCTTCCTAAAAGTAAATCTCTCTCATCTCTACCCAGCTGTTCTTTTTTTTTTTTTTTTTTGGAGGTTATATAAAAATACCAATTTAAAAAAATGAACTTTTATTAAACATAAATACAAAATAATTGAGCGGTATTTGGGCTCCTAGGGGCTCAAAGGCCTGAAAGCAGAAAGGAAAATAGGAGTCTCCACCTGTGATTCAATAAAAAAGATGAAACTCCTGATTTTGCTAATGCTGTGAGCATATCATTTGATAGATGCGTAATTTAGCCAGACATTAACGGGGGAAATGTATAAGCCATCTCACTATTGTTTTGGTAACACACTGAGCTTACCCCACCAACCCTTCAGAGCGGCTTTCTATAAGTAACATAACTGCTCCTTTTCTCATCTCATTCTTCCAACCTGGGTTCTCTCTGCTTTATGCTTACCAGAAGTAAATGTGCCAGCAAGTTCAGTATCTCTGTATGTTTTAGGATTAGTGAATTTCTTTATTATTCACTTTTTATTTTCAAGACAAGAAAACTCAACTGAAGGAGTATATTAAACCTTTCTTTCCTGCCTCTCAACACTCTTGGCCCATTCATTTATACTTCCAATTTGCCAGACTTCATCCATTAGGGCTCATCCCAATTTTGCTTCAATTCCTCCATTCCCCTTCTCACATTCACAACCCTTGTGCAACATTCCTTTTCTCTCAAGTCAGACCAGATCACATGTTTCAGTGTATAGCTATCCTCATGTGCTCATTTGTATAAGAGGTCAGTTAACTGCTGAGCCTCAGTCCTCCTTCAGGACACCCATTTTTGGTGAGGATGTGCAAACTGGGGCAGCAAAGCTACCCATTATGACTGGAAGACTCTGATTTCTCCTTAGTCCACCCAATAAACTGCTACCTGAATTTAAATAAACAGCAGAATCTGGTTTTTGAAGACCAATTTCTGCCTCCTGGTATCTTCCATTCTCTTGGGCACCAGAAGTCTTGACCACTCTGGCTATTCCCAGTCTCTTCAGCCTGTCCACTAAGTTCATCTTCAACTGGCCAACATCAGGGGGGTTCCGGGAGGGTCTCAAGCCATACATCTCCTGGAGGAATGTCTCAGCTGGTCGAGAGGCCAAAAAATTTTCAGAGAGATGCACTCGAGGCTCAAAGGGCAAAGGAGAAGGGCAAGGTGACTGAGATGGTGAATTTGGTGGTGTGGAAGGGATAGCCAGGGCTTTAGGGAGAGGCTGGAGGACGGGGTTCTCTGAAACTGGGCTGTGGTACACTTTGGCAGAGATGCCTCGCTCTTGCAGAAGTTTGGCCAAGCTCCTGGTGCTACTGAAGGTTGTAGTGGAATCTCGTCTGTTGGTGATGGACTCACCAATGCTGAGTCTATAGGACAAGGCAGGAGAATTTACAGCCGTGTTGGATGAACTGCTACCACTACTTCCACAGGATAATGAAGGGAACCCAGAGCTTTAAAAAAAAAATGTGGGAGAGAGTGTTTAAGAATAAAAAGCAAGCCTCAAGCCAGCATTTAAAGTAACTATAGTAGTTATTCTTGGTAAATATAAAGTAATATGCAACTCTGCCCTATGCCTTTCTGCCTTTGGATGTTTTAACCTGTATTCTTTCTTTGTAATTCAGTAGCCACAAGCATAACAACTTGCTGTGAGTTCTGTGAGAACTTCTAGTAAATTACTGAACCTGAAAGTGGTTTTGGGAGCCCTCTGTACTTGCAGTGTTGTCAGAAATGAATGTGAGCTTGTGCAGAGGACTGGTCCTGTAAATCTTGCAGTTTGGCTAACTCTAGATGTGTAGCCCCAGCTGGGTTATTTATTAGTTGTCTTGCCTAGGACCAGTCACCTCAACCTTCCATGCATGGAGTTTATTTTACACAATACATACTCACTTGCCCTGCCTACTTTAAAGAGTTATAATAATCAAATGAGAAAATAAAGTGTGAAAATATTCTAAAGACACATGATCACAGAACATTAATTAACATGCTGGAAATTAAAATAAAGGTAATTTTTAAAAGAAAGTCATGAAAATATACCTGAGGAAAGAAGTGAGGCCCCAGATTTCCCTGGGACTCTTACCTGGGGGTAACCTGAGTGATGTCAGAGGGATGTAATATTCTACAGGTGGTGAAAGTGAATGTTGAGTTTGTGCATGACAGGCACTTTCCTGGGTTGGCAGTTGCAACTGAAGTAGATTTTTAGGGAGCAAATACAAGATTGAAAGACTAGATTAATAATGTAAAAAGCTCATCATTATTTATTAATAATACAGCATTTATCAAGTACCTTTTGTACTAAAAATCCCCAAATCTGGAAATGAAATAAATATACATAAAGATTGTGCTAGTATTAATTAGTATAAAGGTGAATCCAATACTTTAAAACTGTAAAGCTTAGAAATAAGAAAAGAAAACTGAAAAAATACATTTAAAAAATCAAGATCTAGTTATCCAAATGATTCAGCCAAATTTATCCACTCTGGTAGTTCTCAAATGGTCTGCAGACTCTGTGGGAGTCCACAGGTCAAAGCTACTTTCACAGTAATGTTAACTCAGAGGCCTTTTTCTTTTGACAGGGTTGACGTTTGCACGGCTGGTACAAAAGGAATGGAAGGCAAAACTGCTGGCTCCTCAGCACATATCAAGGCAACATCACCAAGTTATACTAGTCTTCTTCACGGTTATACACTTGGTATTTTTAAAAAAGCCACATTAAGAATGTCCTTGAAGTAGCAGTAAAAATTATCTATTAAATCTTGAATCTTGGCCCTTAAATCTTCTTCCTATTCTGTGTGATGAAGTGGGAAGGTTGCATTAAGCACTCTTGCTGTACCCTGAGATACAGTGGTTATCTAGAAGAAAACACTTTTGCAACTGATTTGAAATTTTGTCATGGAATACCATTTTTTTCTTGAAAGAACTAACAGATAAACTATAGTTTTTCAGATTTGGGTATAAGACAGGCATGTTAAAAATGAATGAAGTCAGCCTGTCCTTTCAATAAAAACAGCTAACAAAATGTGAGCTTTCAAGAAAAAGTTAGTTTTGGAAAACTTGTATCCACCACTGAAAGCATGTACATCTTTAAAGACTTTTGAGATGAGATAGGTGGTGATATTAATACGATTTTAATATTTGTATATAAAAAAATTCATCAACATTTGAAAAATCTGCATAACTCCATGAATCAATCAATATTTTCTAAATGACCAATGCATGATGTTAAAAATCAAGCATGAATGAAAGATACTCTCAAAACATAGGATACAACCAATGCATTTTATTTTATTTTATATTTATATTTATTTTTTTTTAGTAGAGACAGGGTTTCACCATGTTGCCCAGGCTGGTCTTCAACTCCTGGCCTCAGGTGATCTGCCTGCTTCGGTCTCCCAAAGTGCTGGGGTTACAGGTGTGAGCTACCATACCCGGCCTGATTAATGCATTTTAATGTTAACAAAGTAATGAAAAGTTCATTGTTATGGTTTCAGATCTCACACTGCTACAAATGTTCAAGAAATTACTACTTACCAAGTTTTAGTGTAATATCAAATAATATCTACAAATATCTGAAAAGACTATTAAAACACTCTTTCCTTTTCCAACTGCATGTTTGTCCCTGGCTGCATTTCCTTCACAGTGTTCAACCAAAACAACATATTGCAATAGACCGAATGTAGAAGCTGCTAATGACAATGAAGCTATTTTGTATTAAGTAAAAAATCAGAGACCTGAACATATGCCAAAACTGTTTTTCTTACTATGTAAAAAAATAGCTGTTTTTCATAAAACATATTTGTGTAACACAATTAAGTGAGTTAATACATATTTTTATAATTTCTCAGTTTTGATTTATGATATGCTAAATGTCAATAGATATAACCTACACAGATAGGCTCTCTGGAATTCCCAATGATTTTTTTTTTTTTTTTGACATGGAGTGTTGCTCTGTCACTCAGGCTGGAGTGCAACGGCACGGTCTCAGCTCACTGCAACCTCCACCTTCTGGGTTCAAGTGATTCTCCTGCCTCAGCCTCTGAGTAGCTGGGAATACAGGCGCATGCCACCACACCCGGCTAATCTTTGTATTTTTAGTAGAGACGGGGTTTCATCATGTTGGCCAAGCTGGTCTCGAACTCCTGACCTTGTGATCCACCCACCTTAGCCTCCCAAAGTGCTGAGATTACAGGCGTGAGTTACTGCGTCCAGCCCTCAATGATTTTTTAAGAGTGTAAAGAGGTCCTGAGCCCAAAAGGTTTGTGAACCACTGACTTGAATTCATCTAGCTCTCTACCCAATCTACTGATGCAGGCTAAGATAAGGTGGAGAGAATTAGGAATGCCACAAATGCTACAGATTTTCATTATCTGACATCCAAGATTGAGTGCCCTGCAGTGAGCAGAGGGAGCCAGCTGACCATCTAGTAAGTCAGAATGCAAAGTATTTCTGGTTACTATACCATATTCAACCAGACACTCTTCTCACCTGTAACTGGTCCACCAGCTGAAGTAATGGGTGGTAGGAAGATCCCTGTTACTGGCTTGGATGTTGAAAGTTTCTCTTCCACTTGAAGAGGTTGCTGAACCTGGAAAGTAATGCCCTCCTCTTCGTCCTCTTCTAAATCTGAGATGTGATAAATGGCATCCCTGGGCAATTGGGTAAAGCCTTTTGTAATGACACCTGGTCGTGGATCAAGTATGGTTCCCAAATTTGGTTGAGCAAGCTGCTGCCAGTGATACAGAGTTTGTGATCCTGAATATGCAAGACAAAGGAGGGAGAAAAGGCATGTTTTACATTTCCCACAAATCTTATCACAGAAGCTACAATTATAGTGTAATCACAATAATGACAGCAATAAAACTATTTATTTGGTGTTAATAATTTGGAAAAGCTGCAAATTAAAGTTTTCAGTGGAAGATGACTATGTCAAAGGTATGAGTAATAATCTATTTTAATAGATAGCTTTGAGAAGGACATCTAAAGGAGTAAAAAACAAAAACAAAAACAAAAAAACCCAACAACCAAAAAGACACCCTTAATAGGAAAGGAGCTTAGCTACTGAGGCAGTGATGGAAGATACATGCCTAAGAGGTGGGCTGTATTTTCCCAGGTAACAAAAAAGTCAATACTCCGCTGGCCTGGAACTATGCCTATGAAGCTGTAAGTCAAAAGCCAGGCTCCCAGGGAGAATAGGAAAATGAAGATAATGAAAAAGAGGATACATCCTCTGGTTCAAGGCTATAGAACCCTGGTAAATGATCATCCCAAGTAATTGCACCAGATGCAAGGTCCAATTATGTCACTGTAGTGCTTTCATCCTAAAAAAGACAACTCCTACAAATACCTGCACTGATCATTAACAAATAAAACTAAGTCATAAAATCTTTGAGTTTGAGGGGTCTTTATAGGTTACGTACTCAAAATTTAATGCAGAACTCTTTTAGGATAATATCAAAGAATCATTCAATGATTGTCACTATTCCATAAAATGAAGGAATTTATTTTCAATTCAAGTCCTTTCTTAGGAGAGAATAGAAACTGAACTGAAAAAAGAAAAAATACACACACACACACACACACACACACACACACACCCTCCCCCCCCCCACACCCCCCTCTACGTCAATATACTTTTGGGTAAAAAACTCTTTTGAAAAGGAAGGTGGAGCTAAATTATTACCTCTAGATCATTATCATTTATCTTATTTATCTTACCATGGAAACTGCTATCGATGATATTCCTTAGCAAAGGACAGAAAAAGATTACTCCTCCTCTCCACTCATGTTTATATTAAAAAACATCAGCAAAAGAGAACAGATGGCTGGTAATTCAGAGAACGAAACTGTCTTCATTCATTAATTTTCCAGAAAGTACAACAATGCCTTGTCACCCAAACAGCAAGATTAAGGTATAAAAAAAATCATCTGCACATAATGTTCCTATAATTAAAACACAAATCTCAATTCCAGGGAAAGGAACTTCCAATAAGCCACGTGGCTTAGAAAGGGCCTTTACTGATTTATTACCTTCAAGGGGCTTGACAATTTGTAATTTTTCTGGCAGAAAACCCCGAAGGCAACTGGCACTGCTGAGGTCTGTGATCTCTGACTGGTTGGTGCAGAGAGAGGCAAAACTCTCTGTTGGGGTTACAGAACCACTAACTCCTTCCTTCTGGTCGGCCAGAACCTGGATCTTCCGCTGCCATTCTTCAGCAAAGAACTGCTTCTCACTTAAATAGTTCTGTCGACGCAAGCTAAGGCGATGCAGTGCTGTAGCCAAATCACTATCTCCAGAGGGTCCTGGTTGGCCCATCTTCCGGGAGTTCCTATAGGAAAATCACATTCACTGAGTAGATCTTGAGGATCATCAGAACAACCCAGATCTCTCCTTTCTACAATGGTAAGCATTCAAGAGACTGATCTTAAAAACATGGTATTTTCCTAGATACCTGGAATATAGAAATAATAACAAACCAAAATCACTAATAATATCATTTTTACAGATCATTTCAGATGACTTGAGAGGCAAGATAATACTTCAGTGATATTCTGTGTTTTCTGAATTTTCTGTTTCATTTAATTTATGAAACTACACATTCAACCATCTATAAATTTGTATTAGGTGGTCACAAAAATAAATATTATATTTCACTGAATCTGTACCATGGATTGCAAGAGGTACCATTCTTTTATGTATAATGAAGAAGGAAAAAAGTGCTACCCATTAAACTAAGGCACACTATTAGTTACAAAACATAACAATTTTAAAAATATTAAAATGTGAAAAAAATTTGCTTTGGGCCACATAATCACCCATCAATACTGAAGAACACTGAAAAGAAAAAAAAAAAACAAAATTTGTATATAATACTGCATTTTATAGTTCTCTGATGCCCATTTTTTCAACACTTTTGAAATTGGAAGCTATCTTATAATTGATATCAAATGGAAGAGTAGCAAGCCGAGTTGTGGTACTCTGGGCTACTTGTGTATAAATCCACATAGATGTGTTTCAGATCTTCTCCTAAGATAATTGTGTAACAGTGAGACAGCAGGACAAAAAGCTACTGCGGATGCAGAACACTGCCTAGGACAGACCAGGCAATGCAACTGAAGTCTAGTGAGATAAATTTCTACATAAGGAAGCATTTCCTCCTGGTGCCAAATATCTATCTTTCAAAGGCTTTCAGCTCACTTTTCAGTAAACTAGTTTACCTTCTAGTTATATAGAATTCAATGTATTAAATTAATAAAAAGAAGGAAAACAAATCCAAGTTTAGATAAACAGAAAATTGTCAGCACCTTGATGGTCCTCAAGATGTATTTAAACTTATATTTATCCTAAAAATCAGCAAAGTGGTTGAGATTTTGAGCAGGGATTATGAGAAAGTGTCATCTGATGTATTCATGCTAGTGACCAAACAGATTCAAACAAATTTGACTTTGGCATGATCTATGTCATGAATAATGATACAGGGCATCATAAGTGAATAAAAACTGACAGTTCCAGAACCTTCTTGGGACAGTACTTAGTAATGCTGGAATTTGTGTATGTCAATCTGGTGAGTCAATGGGAAACGAAATGTAGAATCACTGTCATCGTCTGTTTCTTACCCTGCAACCTCCTCTGAGCTGCTTCCCTGGTTCAGGAGTGATTTGTCCCCTGTTTGCTGTAAACCAGACTCAAATGGTTTTGCTGTCATGATGACACTTGAACGGTTGGAGCCTGGAATGGGTAACAGAGCTGGGAACGAGACAGAGCGGCCCCGTGTGTCATTGGCAATCCTGACGGTATCAAATACCCGTTTCTGTTGGGCTCTGTCAAAAAGAAAGTGTTCATTGTTATCACTGCCAGCCACTAGAGCATCTAGAGAAGAGACATGTATATGCAGTCCATCAGAAATAAAGCCACCTGAGGAGCTTCTACAGTTTAGGAGAGATCATCAGAAAATAAGCTTTCAAACAAGAGAACTCTCTCACAAATGAGGACACTGTGAGGAAAACACTGAATAGTAAGCAAATTACTACTGAATCTGATAATACTTAACACTTTGGATTCTGGCTTCAATTTCTATTCCAGTGATTGAGTAACAACACATATGATCTCTACTTACTTTTGTTTAAAGAGAGAAGATTCCTCATCCAAGCTCAGCTTTTTACGCATAGTCCCCTCAATCTCAGCTGCCAAAGATTCCTAAGAAAAAGAGTTTGAGATTTCTAAAGTGATTGTTGCCCTTAAATTAATTAACAGAGTCTCTACAAACCTATACAGGTATTGATAGACTTACGGCCTATGCAACTTATGACCATTCGACTTTACGACCACAATCGCTAGCCACGACTGCTCCGCATCTGGCAGCGCAAACGTTGCCCAGCTGGGCGTACGACAGTGCGGGACAATAAACATATATGCTATATCATATCATTATTAGTCATTTTCTTGCCTTTCTTACTAAAATGTGAGTGGTTTATATCCCTATATCTTTTACAATATTAGAACATACTAAGTTTAAATTATATTTGAACAAGATATCCAGATGACATCTTTTATGATGAATGCTACATATTTGTATCCCATGGAAAGTCACATAAAATTGTGATGATTTACTTTTCTACTTACAATGATAATAAATAAATACCTGGCAACTAGTCCTTTTTAACCCTAAGACTTAACATAGTTCATACTCTTCTGCTTTTCAAAACTCATCATGTGCTGTGGTTTTTCACTTCAAACCATAGACCACTGTGGCTCAGTGATCTGTGAATATTCCACAGTTTTACACAAGGCTGCGCCTTTACCACAAGTTAAGGTGGCTTTTTAAAAATGAGATTTGACAAGAATGCTTTCATAATAAGCATTCAGGTCAACCTTTACTAGGGGTAATGCAGTGTTTTACTTAAACCTGACGAATGTAAAAATGAGAAACAAAATAGTGTAGGGATGATACAAATGGCATAAAATGAACAAAGAAAATTATGATATATAACAATAATGAAAGAAAATTATGATAAAATTTGACTTAAAGATTTTTATAACATCATTTCACAGTACTGTACTCAACTTACGGCCAAATCGTGTTACGACCGGTCTGTCGGAACCAATCGTGGTCGTAAGTCGAGCACTAGCTGTACTTTCGGTGTTACAATAAAATACAAGGAAATAGTCAAGGCTAACATTCAGGGGAAAAAAGATATTCTGGAAGTAGAACTTTTAAATTAGAACCAACTACATTTTCATGATTTTTTCAAATAGGAAATGAGTGAAAAAAGCTAATATGATAAACAGAAAATACACGTGCAGACACACAAAAAACAAAAGGTCTAAAAGGCCATAAACCCAGTGTTTACAGTGATTCTGTGAAGGGTGAAATTTAATGGTATTTAACAACTTCTTTTTGCTTTTTGTAATTTCTAGTTTTTCTATAATGAACATGTGTAGCTTTTATAATATTAAAAAGTCATTTTAAAAAATAAGCAAGTTTCCTCTTCCCCTGATCAGGGATGAGGACTAAACCCAGTGTTGATAGCGATTTTGTGGAGGGTAGGATTTAATAGTATTTGACAAATTATTTTTGCTTTTCTGTAATTTCCAGCTTTTCTATAATAAATATGCATAGCTTTTATAATATTGAAAAATCATTAAAAAAAAAAGCAAGCTTCCTCTTCCCCTGGTCAAGGATGAGGACTCAACAAATATGGGTGACATGCTCAGTGGGGCTGGGCTGAGGATTACTGAAATTGGAGGCAATGGTGTGAACTCATGATTTTTAATATATATATATTATTACATATGAATATATATGTATATATGTAAATATACATATATATTCATATGTAATAATAGATAATGTGTATATATATTATAGAATATGTATATAATATGTATATATTACATATACACATTACATGTTATATATATAATATAATATATACATATATCTCATATATAACTATATATAATACATAACATATATACATATTACATGATATATGTATATAATATATATTATATAAAATTAATCTATAATGCATAATATTATATATATATCGTATGTTATGTGTGATTGTGTGTGTGTATATATAGTGTAGATATAGGTTATGAAAATGTATATATAAATGTATACATTTTCATAACCTATATCTACACTATATATATATATATATACACACACACACACACACAAACACACATAATATATGCATATATATATATATATAGTGTAGGTATAGGTATGAAATACAGAAATACATATATTTCCTAGTTTTTCTTTTTTTTGAGACGGAGTTTTGCTCTTGTTACCCAGGCTGGAGTGTAATGGTGCGATCTCGGCTCACCGCAACCTCCGCCTCCTGGGTTCAGGCAATTCTCCTGCCTCAGCCTCCTGAGTAGCTGGGATTACAGGCACGTGCCACCATGCCCAGCTGATTTTTCATATTTTTAGTAGAGACAGGGTTTCACCATGTTGACCAGGATGGTCTCGATCTCTTGACCTCGTGATCCACCTGCCTCGGCCTCCCAAATCTGCTGAGAGGCTCTAGAAGCCACGATACTCTAGTGGCAATCAATGGGCACCATTAGCACCCAGATCTTGGATTCGAAATGCCATTCTTCAATAAATGTAACCAGAGCTCTTTGGAGAAATGGCTGATTCCAGGGACAAAAAGTGCAAGATGAGCTTAAAGGGGATCCTACTGGCCATATCTAGGACAATCTGAGTATCAAAATAGATATTAATAATTATGGCTTATAATCTATTGAATAAAATAGAAATCCATGAGTCCATGACATACCGAAATGAACAAATGAACAAATAAATGGAACAGAAATGCACTAATTTATAAAAGAAAAATGTCAATTAATAAATGTTGAAAAAATGATGGAATCTGAAAATCACCATTTGGCAATCATTATCATAATAACTGTCAAATAAGAACTATCAATAGATGCTAAAACTAGTGGGTAATAATTTGATGAGGAACAGGATACTTAGTCTCAAAGTATCTCTCATTAAATGTTTACTTTGATCACTTGGTTGAGGTAGTATCTGCCAATTTCCATCACTACACAGTGAAATAGCAGTGTTAATTTAATTAACTATTAACTATTATTGACTTTACAGTGGAAAAAACCAGGAGATTACCTTAACCAAGAGATCAGAGTTAATCAATACCACTTGTAATGGGCTAAACATACATTATGCATCTCTTGATAGGATGCTCTGAGAATATGGCATCATTTCTGCCAAGAATGCATTATCGGAATCTAATCATGAGGATGCATCAGACAAGCCTAAACTGAGGACATCCTACAAAGGTCATGAGAGAGAAATAAAGACAGAAGAACTGTTCCAGATGGAAACAACAAAATGCACTGTATCCTTTAAAGGACATTAGTGAGACAACTGGCAAAATCTGAATGGGCTCTGTGGATTACATAACATTGTATCAATATCAACTTCCTGATGCTGATGGTTGTGGTGTGTTTATGTAAGACAGTGTCCTTAAGAGTGTCCAAATGTCCTTGTTTTTAGTAAATACACACTTAAGTACTATGGGGTAATAGGGTATACCAGCAACTTACTGTTAAAATAGCCCAGGGGGAAAAAAGAGAGAGAGATTGAATGATATGGTAAAAGCAGTAATGTGTTAAAAAACTGAAGAATTGATGTGAGGGATATACAAGAGTTCTTTATACTATTCTTGGAACTTTAAAATTATTCCAAACTTAAAAAACAAAATCACACCTCCCTAATTTTAAGAAAATCAACTGCAATTTATAGTTTTAGTCTTTTAAAAAAGTTCAGAGGGTTGCACAGAAGTGTTTAAAAATCAGATTGTTAAAATAACTCTTTGAACCAACATTACAAATTCTAACATAAATTCAGAAGTTTTTATTAATTTTTTTAATCCAAAAAATAGTGTTTATGAATTAAACAAAGATGAATCCTGTTCTCATGAAGCTTACATTCTAACAAGTTAAAAATATCAGGAGATTGAAGATTTATTGAAAGAGGTTTTAGATATTCAAAGCGCCATTTAAGTAAATGGCAGGTGGTAGGTCTAGGATAGGATAACCCAAGTTTAACTAGTTCTAATATACACAGTCCTCAAGTTAATTTCCTTAGGGCTCATCTTACATATTATTGATTTAATATATCTGGGAAGTCACCTGTTAGAATAAATAAGAGTATTAAGGAAGATGTCAATATAAAAATTAGGGCCTAAATCAATAATTGGAGTCCAGAAACAAGGACAAACCATATTATCTCTTCTCAAGATGCTTTATACCATCATAAATCATTTCACTTTTAGGACAACTAATCTTAAACAAATTTCTTTAAATATACAGCATCTTTCTTAGTTGCTTACCCCAGTAAAAGCTCCATATGATTGGGAGAAGAAGAGATGAGCAGCAGGGCCAGATCTACTACGAAGTTCCTTTATTTCTTCTTGGGATTCATGTAACATTCCTAGACACTCCATATTTCTGTCCTGTAACTCGTGCAGCTAAAAAAAAGAAGAATGATAGTATATTTTATTGCCTTCCCAAAACAACACTAGGGAAAAAACTCCTGAAACCTTTTGCGATAAGTATTAATTTTATGCAGAGGGCTAGCTAACTTTATGAATATCATTTCAATACAAGGACTCTAAAACAAACTAAGTATAAAGAGTATATTCTGAGCTACCAGAATTAAGGAGTGTCTTGGCCAAAATCATACATAAATGTGACTTCCTAAAAGTCTGAAATGTAGCTGAGACTACGAGAACTGTCAATTTAATATTGAATTTTCATACCCTAGCAGAGGAAGTACACCAGCTATAGCCAAATTGGGTTTAGTATAATATTAATCTTTTTTTTTTTTAAAAATCACTCTGAAGTCTGTAAGTGACAAGATCAAGAGTCTACAAAGTATTATATAGGATGTCAGGGTGCTCAATGCTCCTAAACAAGTAGTTTCCCCACCTTGTTTCAGAGCCTTCTTTACAACTAGACATACAAATCTGGTAAAAGAGTACATAATTTTCAGAGTATATTTTAACTATAAAATTTCTTCAAGTGTAGTATATGTCCCAGCTTGTCAGAATCACCAGGTTTGAAGATGCTTATTAAAAATGCAGATCCTAGGCTCTCACTCCAGACAACTTGAAGCAGAAGCTCTTGGGACCGTGCCTAGAAACCTCCATTTAAAACTTGCTCTCCCAAGTGATTCTTTCCCCCCCGTCCTACAAGGTATCACTCTATTGCCCAGGGTTGAGTGCAGTGGTGTGATCATGGCTCACTGCAGCCTCAATCTGCTGGGCTTAAGTGATCCTTCTACCTCAGCCTCTTAAGTAGTGGGGAACAGGTGTGCGCCAGTAAACCTAGCTAATTTTTTAACTTTTTGGAGAGATGAGGTCTCCTTATGTTTTACAGGCTGGTCTCAAATTCCTGGGCTCAAGCCATCCTCCCACCTTGACCTCCCAAAGTGCTGAGATTACAGCCATGAGCTATTGTGCCCGGCCCCAGGGGATACTAACGCATGCTAAAGAATCACCAATTTTATCTAACATATAAAATTTTATGTAGATAGAAAGTAAGAGATTTTTCCTACTTCTCCTGACACACCTGCAAAAACATTTACTACTAGAAATTATCTTATTTCAAAAACTGCTGAGCTAGTTAAGGTCGATTGGTAAAAGAGTCATATACTCTTTACGAATCTTATAAAGTTGAGGTTTTCTCTATTAATCAAGAAGGATATTGCCATGTTACCAGTTTTAGAGAAAGGACTTTTAAAATGCTTTATTCTTTGTTTTTGAGATGAAGTCTTGCTTTGTTGGCCAGGCTAGAATGCAGTGGCGCATCTCGGCTCACTGCAATCTCTACCTCCCGGGTTCCAATGATTCTCTTGCCTCAGCCTCCTGGGTAGCTGAAATTACAGCGCTTGTCACCAATCCTGGCTAATTTTTGTGTTTTTAATAAAACACAAAAGATGGGGTTTCACCATGTTGGCCAGGCTGGTCTCGAACTCCTGACCTCAGGTGATCCACCTACCCTGGCCACCCAAAGTGTTGGGATTACAGGCATGAGCCACGGCGCCCAGCCAAAATCCTTTACTTCTTAGATCTCATAATTTCATCTTAACTTCTGTTGTTGCTTTTTAAATCTGGTAATTCCCCTTCAATAATTCTTATTCATGAAGATGAAAGAAACTAGTTATTCTTTCCCCTCCTGAATTACACAAGATAAATATTTCATTACCTCCATCGTCAGTTGTCTTTGGGCATCTTTGGAAGCTTGCAGGTGAAGTCTTAGTTCTTCCTTCTCAATCACATGCTAACAACATATTAAAAGAAACATGTGAAGCTTTTCCAAATAAAATATAGCTATTCTCTTTCTTGTAAAGACATCTGAAGAATTCCTTTCCGGGTATCATCTTAAAGCCTACAAAAAGCTAAACTTTCAAAAGCTAAATAAGAGCAATAAAATGGGCAGAATACAAAATCTATCAGGGTGTTAAGAGGACAATGAGCATGAGTCAATAATTTACACCATTTTCTGAGGAAGCTCTAACCCCATTTTACAAAGAGAAATAGTGACTTGAAAGTACTTATTCATGACATATGATGTAAAGAAGATTAAAACAGCAATCAGATTAAGGCATTTTAAAAGGGCAGGGACCATGTTTATTTTGCTTATTGTATCTAGCACTTAGTATGGTGCAAGATACTATGTCAGTGCTTAACAAATATCTGTTGAATGAATAAATAAGCCTACTTCTTTAAGTTTATGCTGAAGATCTACAATCTGCGACAAAAGAGAAGAAATCTCTTCTTGGTATCGAATCAACTCATCACTCTTCCCTGATAATTCTTCAGTCATTCTGGACATCTGAGCATTTGTTTCACCTTGGAAGCAAAAAAAAAAAAAATTACAAAATTAATATAAACTGAGAGCAGAAGTTGACAAACTATGACTTGTGAGCTGAATCTTGTTTTATAACAAGCAGTGGACTGTCATGAATAGATTTTTCTTCAACATAAAAAAATAAACCCAGAGAAACCAATAGAGACTAAAGGTTCTTCTGAAATAGGCTAATGCTGGGAATTGAATAGGAGACAATGAAGCTAAAAAGAGAGATGGCTTGTAAAGGCAAGCAGGCTAAAGGTTTTGCTTTAATTTTTTTTTCTTTATGAAAATGATATTTGCTCAATCTTTTTCTTTATGAAGGAAAGCAGGCTGAAAGGTGAGCAAGTGCAAACAGGTAATCTCATTTATTTCTTTGAGAACTCTTTAGAGACATAAAATCCCAAGAACAATGAAAATTAATCTTTACAAATCTAACAAAGGAACATTTCCAGAATGGAACAGTCACAATCTATAACAGAATGTGATAAAGCCATGGAAATGCTTCGGTAGGAAAGAGACTTTCTGGGATACCTGGCAACTGGGTAAAACCTCAAGAGCAATTCTTATAGCCTGGCCTTCTTACCTGCACATGAAATAGAGCCTCTAGAATTCCACTGGGAATTTATTCATTCTTTATTTCATATGAAAAATGTGATATGTAAACACAAGCAGAAAAACTACTACTCAGTGTCATATAAAACTATTTTAAAATTGATAGGAAGCCTCTAACATTTCAAAGAATGGTGATACAGAGGCAGGAGATCTGGATCTGAGCTCTTGAGCAAGTCATTTCCTGTATTTTAAAGTGTAAAACGTGGGTAATGAATTCATGGTGGAGGAGAAAATTCAATTTACACTCCTTCTGGTTCTCTAATATTCTGCTATTCTAAGGTATCACATTTTGAAGCCCACAGCCCAATTGATGTGATAGTATTATATCATTGCTGTCAATTTAAGAGGCTATATATAGTAGTCCCCTCTTATCTGTGGGGGATACACTCCAGGACCTGCAGTGGATATGTGCACTATTACAGACAGTACCGAACTCTATACTACATATATTATGTGTTTTCCTACAAACATATACCTATGATAAAGCTTAATTTATAAGTTAGGCATAGTAAGAGATTAATAATGACTACTAATAAAACAATTATAACAATATACCAGGCACCACTACTTTTATGCTTTGGGGCCATTAGTAAGTAGCGTAAGGGTTACCTGAACACAAACACTGCAATACTGTGACAGTTGACCTGGTAACTGATGGTTACTAAGTGACTGACAGGCAGGTAGCATATACTGAGTGCAGATGTTGGACAAATGGATGATTCACATCCCGGGAAGGATGGAGTAGGATGGCACAACATTTCATCACACTACTCAGAATGGCTTATGATTTAAAACTCATGAATTATTTATTTCTGGGATGTCTTACTTAATATTTTCAGACTGCAGTTGGCCACAGTAAACAGAAATCATGAGAAGTGAAACAGCAGGTAAGGGACAACTGTTGTATTTATGGAGAAATTAAATAACTTTCTTCAGTGAAGCCAATCTTTTTCCAATTGATTTGTTTTTAAAAAAAAAAATAGTTAAAAAGAACAAAGCGGGAGGCCTCACACTACTGGACTTCAAACTATACTACAAGGCTACAGTAATCAAAACAGCATGGTACTGGTACCAAAACAGAGATATAGACCAATGGAACAGAACAGAGGTCTCGGAGGCAACACAACATATCTACAACCATCTGATCTTCGACAAACCAGTCAAAAACAAGCAATGGGGAAAGGATTCCCTGTTCAATAAATGGTGTTGGGAAAGCTGGCTAGCCATGTGCAGAAAGCAGAAACTGGACCCCTTCCTGACACCTTACACTAAAATTAACTCCAGATGGATTAAAGATTTAAACATAAGACCTAACACCATAAAAACCCTAGAAGAAAATCTAGGCAAAACCATTCAGGACATAGGTGTAGGCAAGGACTTCATGACCAAAGCACCAAAAGCATTGGTAACAAAAGCCAAAATAGACAAATGGGACCTAATCAAACTCCACAGCTTCTGCACAGCAAAAGAAACAATCATTTTTAGTAGAGACGGGGTTTCACCATGTTGACCAGGATGGTCTCGAGCTCTTGACCTCATGATCCACCCGCCTCGGCCTCCGAAAGTGCTGGGATTACAGGCGTGAGCCACCGGTGGCGTGTGCCTGTAATCCCAGCTACTCAGGAGGCTGAGGCAGGAGAATTGCCAGAACCCAGGAGGCGGAGGTTGCGGTGAGCCGAGATCGCGCCATTGCACCCCAGCCTGGGTAACAAGAGGGAAACCCCCTCCCAAAAAAAAAAAAAAAAAAAACAGAAACAGTCATTAGAGTGAATTGGCAACCAACAGAATGGGAAAAAATTTTTGCAGTTTACCCATCTGACAAAGGGCTGATATCCAGAATTTACAAAGAACTAAAACAGATTTACAAGAAAAAAACTAACAAGCCCATTCAAAAGTGGGCAAAGGATATGAACAGACACTTTACAAAAGAAGACATACATGAGGCCAACAAACATATGAAAAAATGCTCATCATCACTGGTCATCAGAGAAATGCATATCAAAACAACATTGAGATACCATCTCACGCCAGTTAGAATGGCGATCATTAAAAAATCTAGAGACAACAGATGCTGGAGAGGATGTAGAGAAATAGGAACACTTTTGCACTGTTGGTGGGAGTGTAAATTAGTTCAACCATTGTGGAAGACAGTGTGGCGATTCCTCAAGGATCTAGAAATAGAAATTCCATTTGACCCAGCAATACCATTACTGGGTATATATCCAAAGGATTACAAATCTTTCTACTATAAGGACACGTGCACACGAATGTTCACTGCAGCACTGTTTACAATAGCAAAGACCTGGAACCAACCCAAATGCCCATCGATGATAGATTGGATAGGGAATATGTGGCACATATACACCATGGAATATTATGCAACCATCAAAAATGATGAGTTCGTGTCCTTTGTAGGGACATGGATGAACCTGGAAAACATCATTCTCAGCAAACTGACAGAAGAGCAGAAGATCAAACACCGCATGTTCTCACTCATAGGCAGGTGTTGAACAATGAGAACACATGGACACAGGGAGGGGAGCACTACACACTGGGGTCAGTTGGGGGGAAATAGGGGAGGGACGGTGGGGGGTGGGGAGCTGGGGAGAGATAGCAAGGGGAGAAATGCCAGATGTAGGTGATGGGGAGGAAGGCAGCAAATCACACTGCCAGGAGTGTACCTATGCAACAATTTTGCATGTTCTTCACATGTACCCCAAAACCTAAAATGCAATAAAATAAATAAATTGGGGAAAAAAAAAACTAGTTAACATTATCTCAACCTAAAACATATTCCTTTAAAGAAACATAACTGGCACTTAATACTCTTTGATTGTAGGTTTTATGCCATCATTTAAGCTCTAGCTCTGCCACTTAACAGTTTTCTACTTTGGCAAGTCATCTCCCTCTATAGGACTATTTCATCAACAATATGGCAGCTTTTGATAATTGGAATTTGAAACAAATGTATTTCTTAAAAATACATATGGTATCTTATTTAGGGCTATAGGCTCAATGTGATATTTTAAGATTTTCAGCAACCATTTAAAATTGTTTCTTGAGATGCTTCTATTAAAACCAGTGATCTAACTTCAAAGGTAGAGATATCCTACCAAAGAATTGTCCAAAAAGTACAAAAGAGAATATGTGAATACTCACGAAGTTCTTTAACACAGTCACTGACAAGCTGTTGTTCCTTTTCTTCATAGGTAACAGTTTCTGACTTTATGTGACAAGCCTTCAAGATAAAAATCAGTATGTGATAATACCTTTAGTGATTTCATAGAAATAACTACAAAAACCTTTAATTCTCATTTGAAGACTAAAGTTCATCACTTATAAAAGAAAAAACCCAACAACCTGTTCATATGTCTCTACCTGGCTAATCCCTGGCCTTGGCTAAAATGGTCCTTGCTTAAGTAGGACTTCCTTGATGACTACACTATACAGGTCCACAGAACCTTGTAATTTTCTGACAGAATGCTTAGCTACTTAGTTACTTGTGTAAACGCCACAAGATAAATTTTAAATTTTCTATCCTGTGACTTTCTCTACTGTACTGTCAACCTGCTACTATACACTTTTCAGTGGGATCTAAGAACAATGGAAGGCAAGGCAAATACAGCTCCTTGTTCACGACTCTCTAATTGGAATGTCAATAGCAAATCCTTATGCCATATTTCACCTCAATACTACCTGGACCTGAACTTTATAGTCTATAAAGTAAAGGAAAATGGGAATTAGGTTGAATATACCTTGGATCGAAGAGCCATATTTTCTTCTTCCAGTTCCTTGAGCTTTTCTTGCAGCATTTCCAACTGCAGCAACCCTTGAGATAAGTTAAAGGACTCATTGAACCGAAGAGGTGTAGAACAGCTGGAATCAGTTTCACTTTCTTCAGAAGCAATGGAGACGATTCGAAGTAACTCATCTTTCTTGGATAGCTCATGCTGCAGCTGATTAACCTGTCCACATAAAATGCTTGATTTTCATGTTCTTCATTTGCCATTATTTACATGCACTATAGTTTCTAATTCATGGGACAATTATTTTTCATCATAAAATCAGCTGCTAGGTTTTACTGACTAATACAAGTACTAAAAAGAGAATAACAAATCCCAGATACCTCCAAGTTACAATTTTAGAGCTTTAACTCAATAGTACAGCTTTTTTCTATCCTAGGTGAAAAGAAAAGCCAATTTTCATATTGTATATATGATAAGAATATATAGGAGAAAATTTCACCTAAGACAATGATACACTCATAGTTAAAAACACAACAAAACTGAAGAACCTTCAAAGTATCAGAATAGATCCCTACTTCAAATTCTTATCATAAGGGCTTGTAATTTTCAGATCTACATCACTGTGTATGTCTTCCTAGGACTACTGATTTTAGTTCTAGGAACAAATAGTTTCAACCTAAAGGCTAAAATATTATCATCCATAATGCATTCATAAAATACAAGTGAAAACAGATAAAAATAACAAATTACAGAAACTTTGAAATGTAACCATTCAAGTTAATAATAAATCAGTTCTCACCGCAAATGTTTATTGCTATGGAATAAACATATTTTCAAAGTTTCTTTTTCCTTTCTTCTTTTGTTTGGTTTTTGAATAAAGATACCAACATACTATTTTTTAAAAATAAATTTCAGATAAGATAACATACAAAGTCTACACAAAAGAGTATGGATAGTTTTCATATCTAAGCAGGGTGCCACAGGTATCACAGATACGTAATATAGGCTTTAAGTTGACCAAGGTAGTCATGTGAGTTCTCCTCTGTAATATTAACATTTAATTTGTCTACTGATTAGCTTAATGACCACCAACGAAGTCAACAAGTACTGCTGTTATTTATCTATTGCCATCATTTCAAGGACACCTAGGAAAATAAATTTATCCATTGCATAAAACCCAATTATTTTGTGCTGCAGATATCTGATCAAAGGCTTACTTGATCAAAGGCTTGTCCCAATTGTTCCTCCAGGGATTCATTCTGCTCAGATAAGACATGGTTCCTCTTTAACAGAGCTTGTCCAATTCGAGCAGCGAGTTCCAGATCACGATCCCTCTGTTAAAATATCAAATACACATTTTCTTTGAGTATAAACAAGATTAAATGGCAGTTCAGAAATTTTGCAGTCAGTTTTGGTAAAATCAAAAGCAATGTCCTAGAAAGCATCAAGATTCATTTTAATGCCCAGATACCATAAATAAGCACAGGGTCTGGCACACAGGTAGTGCTTTAAAATCTTGGTCAAGTGGATGACCACCATTGTTCTAAACGCAAGAGGACATCTCTTTTCTTGATGTCAAGTGAGATTTATTATCATCCTAGTAAATTAAGAGTCTAGCAACCCAAACTTTAAACTTACAATTTTGGGGAATTGGAAAATCAACATAGTCTTTAAAAATGAGGATGGGGCCTGTATAGTAAAAGCCCAAAAAATATTTGTTGAATGTATTTGCATATCAAGCATGGTAATAATACAGAATTAGGTATTTAAGATATGGATCAGGTAGGCATGTAAAAAAGAGTTCCATTTAGGGCAAGCTTATGTGCATTCACCAGCTTAGAGGAAAGTGCAGCCAAGAGTTCTGTAGTCAGTTGGTTCAAGAATGATGATATGAAATAAAATAGGAAATAAAATACTGGAAATTTTGAGGCCACAGGATTCTGCCGAAAGTACAGAAAAGAAAGAAGTCTAAAGAAGCTAGTGGCAATGATGCCGGGAAGTCGGTAGAAAAGTCAAGCAATAGGTTTCCACCCAGAGTTGTTATTTTTGGGCAGATACTGATACTTAGCAAGGGCATAGGAATTCCATCTGTGTGGTAGTGGTGAAGACTGTATTCTGTAGGATAGAAAACTGTCAATATACATCTTATTGCCTTGTATATGATCTGCTTACAGTAATCATTATATAAATAAAATTAAGCTTCTATCCTTTCTCTCCATAGGCATATGAAAATGGAGGGATTATCTCCACATTTTTAAGTCTCCTTTTAAATATACGCTAAGTGGCAAACATAGAAGTCATTCTGGAGAGCTGGGGGGAGAGGGGAGAAGGATATATTAGAGAAAGACTGTCTTCCATAAGATCAACTGAAATGGTACAAAGGGAGACTTCTATCGATTGCCAACTAGAGGAGATACGCTATACGTATTAAAAATGCCAGAGACAAAGTAAGCTCAAATAAGAGCCCAAACTAAAAGTAAAAAGGGGAGATGCTCCAAACTGCAGGTACTGATTTGCAGTGATAATGCTTTTTGAATGGGCAGCTCTGCTGTAGGGTATGCAACAGCAGGGGTTATTTTAAGACATTTTTTTTTTTTTAATTTAAAGATTAATGCTTTTCTAGGAAGGGGAGGCCAGCCAACACCATTAAATAAATAATTAAACATAAATCCTCTATAGCTTCACAACAAGCTTCAGAAACCATTCTACTTTGAAATGTCAGTTGTATCAGCAGTAAAAACCTTATACAAAATAACCCAGAGCACATACATCATCATTTTCCATTTGATGTACAAATTTGATAGATTTCAAATGATCCTAAAGTTTTACCTTTTTGTACTGGAGAACGAAAAGATAATCCTACCTCTGCCAGGAGATGTGTAACCATGTCGATGTCATTGTAAGTTTTGGTCATCTGCTCCACCCTGTCTGTGCCTAGAACTAATATAGTTAAAAACAACTATTTATAGGCTTTAGCAATAATGGAAAAATTTAAATATTAATAAGAATTGAGAGATAACAACAAAAACCCCAGGCTTTTACAAAAAGTCATTCAGGAGAATAAAAATATATGTGAAAAAAAGAAATATTTCATATATTAGATACTCAAGAAATAGACCAATCATTACAAAGTATATATCATACAATAATTAAGAAAGTATCAAATGATCACAAGCCAGTCACATCTTGACTATCTCCTTCCTCCTCCTCCGCCCAGGAAGTTTGGGCCACTCACTTATGATAATGTTGGCTAGGAGAATGGATTAAGTTACTGATTGCTTTATAGTCTAATCTAAATTAAAGTTACTAAAGGGTATTAGTGAGGGCTTATGCTGTTATAAAGGAATTTAACTGGAATTCTGCTGTGATTATCTTAACCATCTACGATCACCTACCATGTGAGCTAACGTAAACAAGGAACAGGACTTGCAGGACTTTTTCTGGTTCTGTTATGAACCGTAATTCCTTTACGCTTAATTAAAAACCCTTTATCTGTACATTTCTCCATCTAGGTCTCAGCTATAAAATAAATTGTATGCTACATTATTAGTTGCATAATTCAAGCCCAGTATTTCTGTACTTCACAAGTTCAGGAACTGTCTATGTACCTGGCTAATTTAGCTCAAAAGAGAAGAGCAAATATGACTCCAATGATTCCAGTCACACCAAACAGTATCTTAAAGTTAATAATGCATAACAAAAAGGGTTCCTTTGACTTTGAACATGGTATGTTACTGTAGCACATAAATCTGTGTTTGACTTAGACTGCTTTTATTATAACTAGTTTGCCTTGAAGTGTGAAAAGGACAGGGGCTTTGGAGTAGAAAGCTGAATTCATGAATTTTAGTGAGCTGGAACAAGTCACTTAACCCTTCTGAGATTCAGATAATAAATATGGAGGCAATAACATATATTATAAGGTTATTAAGAGGATCAAATATGATAATCTGCTGAGCAATAAAGTATTCAGTAAACTGTTAAGTATCATAGAACTGTTTATAGTTACTACTCCTCAAACAGAACTGGTAGGTATGAAATGATCCTGACTTTAAATTCTCTGAGTTGGCAGTCGTTTGTAGTTCCTTAGTCCCATCTTAACACGTTAGGGTATCCAAAAGACTGAGTATGTAGGGATGTCACTAGGCATGTTTTACTTTTTTATTTTCTCCCTAGTACCACTAACTAAAATGAATCTGTGAATTACCTATAGCTTAATTATTAATAACAGCCTTATTCCTAGTTAAAACTAAAACAAAGTGCTGGCTTGATAGTATGAAGAGATAACTGAAAAAGATTTAAACTGAAAATATAAAAACTTTTCTTAAAACCTAGAAATATTTGTACCCCAAAAGAATTATATTTACAAACAGAAAAACTAACTCAATAATTTAACCAAAGTGATAAGGGAAACAGACTTTTGAGCCTAACGAATAGACACAATTTAATTTGGTAGCATAGCAGGAACAAAGGATTAAATAGCTAAGGCAAATACTTACAGTGAATGGTCTCCTCTACTTCTGGTCTCAACCACAAAATTAGGGTAAAAATACCAAAACAATATATCCATGTTCCAAACGAATTACAGAAAACCAGACAATGGTTGCAAACCCAAATGTAATCTAGAGCAATGGCTCTAAACTCCAGATTCTGATTTAATTAATTTCAAGAAGCCCTATCTCAGGTGTTGAAAATGACATGGAGCCAGGAACTAAAACCACCAATCTGGGGTTAATACCTGAACCAAAAATCAGGCATCCTACAGGCTTAGTCAAAACCAATTTTTATACAAGTAGTTTAAAAAACATATGACATGATTGCCCAGAGTCAAAGATGAAGTGGCAGATTTAACTTGGAGTAAGACTAGTAAGTTAATGATCTAAAAAACAACTGTGAACCACAAGTCACACACGATGAAAGGAGAAGAAAACAATGAAGGACATAATAATAGAGTCAAGAAATGTTTAGAATAAAATATGTTTTAGTGAGAGGAAATAAAAATATGTTTCCTATAAATGCTTACCATCTGTCACAGCAAAAAATTTAAAGCTGAACCTTAAGAAGTTATCTAGTTTAATGGTCCATTTTCTTGTATGAGGAATCTTCTTTGAGAGAAATTACGTGGCATGTTCAAGACCACAAAGCAAGCTATTAGTGGCAAAGCTGGGATTTTGGTATGGAGATGATAATAACGCTCATCTCACAAGGTCATTAGAAAAAAATCAGATGATGTTAAGAGTCCCGTAATGAGTTCTTGCCACCGTGCTGCTCTTTCAGCCCCACTAAGAACATAAAAAGGTCCTTATCTAATGGAATACCAGCGCATACACCTGTGAATGCATGTTATATAATAAAACAGCATAGATGCCAATTTTGCTTTTAAAAGTGTGTGCATATCTATAAATATCTATATTCAAGAGAGCCTGGAAGGATATACATTAAAATGTTAATAGTGATTATCTCTCAGTAGGGATTATGGTTTAGTATTTTGTTATTTTCTATAAAGAACGAATGTTATCTTTATAAACAGAAAAAAAAAAAATCCCCACAAAAACCCAGTAACCCTTGTTAAAGTTTCAAAAAGCAAAAATGAACTTTAACATGCTTAAGTATTTGTTATGGCAAAGAAGTTAAATAGTGCAATCAGAATTTTCAAATTCTTGTGTTTTATGCGCAGCCTTTATACTACCAATCCCCAAAGGCTGGGCCTCTTCAATTGCACAGAAAGATGTTGGTCAGGCACAAAACAGAAAAGAACACAATGGATTTTTCTCTCTGCAGTGGAATCAGTTTCTGTCTTTTCTTCCTTAACACAATACTCCTGATAAAGACATGCTGCATGGAATGATTCCAAAAATATTCAGGGCAAAACTCTTAAGTGTTTGATGTCTTGGCATTTAGACGCTGTAATTAAATGCTTCAAAAACCACAGACTAATTCTTCACCATAATTCTGTAACCAAGAATGTAGAGACAGCCAAGAAGGCTAACTGTTAAAATCAATCCTATTAAAAACTATTTTCACTTCAGTTTTTAGTGGTTGAAAATGTTAAATGATACAGAAATTAGCAATGATCCTTGCTTATTTCTAGACCTGAACTTTCCTCTCTAAAAAAAAATTTATACATCAGGGAGATGACAAACATTTTGACAGAACAATTTTGTGACTTGGTTTCCAGAGTTTGTTAATTAATGTTCAACATTTTTGGTGTTAATGTTTGGAGAAACTAATGGTCCTGAAAATATGGGATGGGAGTTTAACACACATAAGCACTTCACTAATCCTTATGTTCTATCCCTGCATAATTTCATATTAACCAGCTCAATCTCACATTATTTTCAGGATGGGAAACACCAATGATAATCCATTCTAATATCTGTCATTTACGTGAGATGGTGCTTAAAAGTTCTCTCATACATAGGTCCCTTTTTCAAGATCTGAAGTTGTTACCACAATTACTGAATTTCAAAAATAATTCTTCTAATCTTCCAGCACTCTCCAACTTTCTCACGCCAAAACCGAACAAAAGCAACAACAACAATAAAATACAAATGAAACACAAACAGTGCCCACATGGCATAGTAAAAGCTGTAAGAGCTCCTGACAACTATCGGCAGGTCTTGAGGTTTTAACCCTAAAGAAGTGACCACAGCCCTTGCTGCTATGATACAGCAATAATTTCTGCCTTCAAAATGACTGAGAGAAACTGATGATACACACCATCTAGGGCAGTCTTTCTCAACAGGGTTCCAGGGGAGAATCAGGCCCTACAGACAATTTGAATGACAATTTTCTCAATTCCCCCAAGGATTGTGCAAAGCTAGTATATGATGCATGGGTGAAAAGGAAATCCATTGTATAAAAGCTAAGTGTCTTAGGGGTACAGCTTAATTCTCTTGTGGAACTGATGGAGAGAGCTTAGCTAGGGGAAAAATAAATCTGCTAACCTCTATGACTGGGCTTACGGTTAATGCTCCCTGAACTTCATCAGTCATATGTCCTTTTCTGCCAGTAAAGGTTAATAATTTTTGAGGGCAGAACTTAAGGAAAAGTGTATCTACCAATCAAAAGTAATAATTTCCATGACCATATTTATCTGCAAAATTATATACTCTCCCCAATTCCTTAATTCTACAATTAATGTCACTGTGAGATGGCCATTTACTTTGGTTGGCAATGCTTTGTATCACTGGTTCTCAAACTTGAGACAGACAGCTGTGACTATCTCATCCCCAGTTTCTAATTTTGTAGGTGGAGTAAAGGGGCCCAAGAATGTAAATTTTGAACAACTTCTCAGGTAATATTGAATGCAGGGGTCTACATTTTCAGAACCACTTCCTAAAATAAAACTTACATAATTAATCATTTTCCCCTTCTTTATGCCTTAGGAAGTGGTAAAAGTAATTCTCTATTACAAAATAAAACCCCTTGAAAGAAACATCAGGTTTCTAATGTTAGCCTTTAAATAAACAAATGATACAGTCTATAACGTGTTCTGATTTCATGGCTCCCCAACAGCTCACGCTGGAACTCAGTTTTAATAAAATCAAGAAAATTGTGGGGTGACCTGTTCTGCGTGTAAAACATTTTTGACCATCTTAAACTTTATATGTGTGTGGCAGGGACTGGGATTGATTAATTGATTTTTGCCTACTTATTGTTCTCCTAGTGTTCTATCTTAAAAGTAAACAATCTCTTTCTGGATTGGGTGACTTCCGAGAACTACCCACTCTCCCGCATTTCTTGTGAGATAAGCTCTGAAGCTCAAATGCTGGCTACGTTTCCTTCCAAATCACTATCTTCTCACAGCTCTTTCAATTTCTTTGTGTTACATAACAGACAAAGTGCTTCTGCCTGTGCTGCCTCTTTTTACTAGGTGTTAAAATTCATTTTAATAAGCACAAGTACCCACTGGCATGTGAGACAGGTAGAGATAAGACCAAAGTAATCCAGGGAGCTGAACTCTAGGATGGTCTGCCAGGGTACACAGTAATTATTCAAAATCACAAATCTTGAAATCTCAGGGGGATAGAAAACTGTGGGAAAGGGTGAGGGAATATTTTTTATCTTCCTTTTTAAACCTTGGTCAATTTGCGAAATAAAATAAATCATTTGGCTTTTATATTCGTAAGACGCAAATTCATGAAGTTTATATGTGATTTAACTATTAACCCCAGGAATTCACACCTTTAAAAGAACAGTGAAATTAAAGTACACTGCAGAGGTAGATTATCAGTATATTCCTAACTTATATGTTTCATGATCTTAGGAATATTATATATAGTTCAATTTTCAAACTGTTGAAGTGAAAATAGTACCATTACACTAAAGAAATAGGATAGTTTTCCAAAACCCTGAAGTATGGATCAGTATCATCTTACTAATCTCAAGTTTAAATTGCTCCCCTGGACACTGTTGTTTTGTAAAAAGTCTTGAAAAGTATTTTAGAATTCACCTTTTATTTTCTAGGCTTTTTACTTATAATTCATCCTAAAAGTTAACACCACTAAATCATGATCTAAGACCACTCCCTAGCTATAGTTTTGCTTCTTAGTAGCCGAGAAGACAAAGACCAAATAACTAAGGGGCACTTTCTTTGGCACTTTATCAAAATAATGACAAACTAAATTTATCCAGATGAACTTTCAGTTTGAAAGTTCTCAGAAGTTTAAACACTCAAGGAACAACAAGAATTAGAAATAAGAAATACTGTTCCTTCTAAAAATGATTTTCCAGAAAAATCTCAAGCAAGCAAATTCTCAAACTAAAACGTCAGGTAAATCTTTGGAGCCTTAATTTAGCTATTTAAAAGAAACATTAAGGACAGAAATACAATTGTATTTGGGCTTCTTGATATTTCAGTTTCAGCTGAAGTAATGTTTATACTTTTTTTGAGCAGTTAAGTTCTAAGAAACTACTAGAAATAAATTGTAGGAAACTAGTGCTAAAAGCAAGTTAATGATTACTATGAAAATGAGTATTGCACAACAGCCATTCTCCAACAACAATCTGGCATTAAAACACTGAAGCACTTACTGGGAAAATGTCTAGAAACTGATCCAATCACATACTTAATTCTAATTAAAAGAATTTCATAAACATATCAATATTGAACTCAAACTTTTATTATATATTCTAACAGCTATTGTGCACACAACATTTTTTATCAAACAAAGTTTTACAAAAGTAATTTCAGCCTTAATACAGATTTTTGGGATGAAATCAAATGCAAAAAGGTCACCATACATCAAAGTTTAAAAATTCCTTTGTCATTTCTAATAGCTTGGTGTAAAACAGACCTATTTTCAGGACAAATCTGGCTCAGTCTCTCACTTAGAATCCTTAAATAATGAAGATTATTACATAGTGTATATTCTTTCTCCTGGCATTATTGAAACTACTTATGTGTTTAAGAACTAGGCTTAGTTATGCTGACATAATTCTTGTGACTGTGTTTAATAAAGATATTAATAAAGATAAAAGTCAAAAGCTGATAGCTTAGGATACCAAACTACTGGGATAATAAATGTTGACAGTTATAAAGGAATACTAAAATTTTAAATCACTTGGTTTTTTAAAAAGTTCCCTTTTCAACTCAGTCTGAGGAAAACATCAAGTAATGAAAACATGTAAGTATACTTGCACCACTGGACGCTGAAAGTCATACGGATGACAAACTTTCTTCATTCAAACATAACACAGAATTATCTCTTCCTATAAAATCAGTTCAAATTAAAGTAGGTATACACTGAACAATGGCTACGAAACATCAGTGCTTTAAAAACCAATACCAAGATACCCACAATCATCACTTCAATGCACAAACTAAAAGAATAAAAAAATACTCACTCATGTAACGGAAAGTCTCTTCAGCAAGGACTGGAGAGAGGGCATCAGATGCATGTTCCGGCTGGTGTGGAGACTGAGTCCAGTCTTGATTTTCATATAGAAAGAGAGTGTCTACTTTTAGCCTGTATTGTGGTAGTTGTTCTTCTAGCAGATTCACCAGCTCAACTTCAGGGAGATCCTCATTGGAGCAGACATCTAAAAAGGAGGGTCTATGTAAATGAATCCAATATATTTCAACTTACTAGGCTACAAAGAAAACTGATGAACATTAGTTTTTCTAAAGTAGGACAACCAAAGAAATACTAGACAAGATTGTTTCTCCACTGAATTTTATTATATATCCTAGTACTATAGTTGTTTTTTCTCTAGCTTTTTTTTTTAGTAAGAGAACTTCTACAGTAAAAACGATAGCATACTTTTTTTGACAGTAATTTTTAAAAAGTATTTTAATTGACACAAAATAACTGGATATATTTATAGGGTACATGTGATATTTTGACACCTGTATACAATGTATAATGATCAAATCAGGATAATTAGCATATGCATTACCTCAAGCATTTATCATTTCTTTGCACTGAGGGCATTTAAAATCCTACCTTGTATCTATTTGAAAATATACAACAAATTATTGTCAACTATAATCACTCTATGGTGCTGAAGAACACCAGAACTTATTCCTCCTATCTAGCTGTAATTTTGTATCTGTTAACCGACATCTTTTGATCCCTCCTTCCTGCTACCCTTCCTAGCCTCTAGAAACCACTATTCTACTCTCTACTTCTACGAGATCAACTTTGTCAGCTTCCACATGAGTAAGAACATGCAGATACTACACATCTGAATTACATACTAACTAAATATATTGCTTAGTGACTATAATCATGCTTTTAAAAATTTTGACATTAAAAAAAATTTTATTTTAGGTTCAGGGGTACATGTGCAGGTTTGCTATATAGGTAAACTTGTGTCACAAGGGTTTGTTGTACAGATTATTTTGTCACCCAGGTACTAGGCCTAGTAACCAACAATTATTTTTTCCGATCCTTTCCCTCTTCCCACCCTCACCCTTCATGTAGGTCCAAGTGTCTGTTGTTCCTGTCTTTATAACTATGCTTTTAAAGTTTAGAATTAATTTGTAGAAATTTCATATTTTCTCCCTATCATTAGTACTATTTAAAGAGATCTGTGCCTTTGAAGCAGCAGCAGGCAAGAAAAAATAAAGTAAAAGGGGTCTGATCTCAACTTACATGCTTGGGGGGAAAAATACAAAGCAATTAGCAGAAAATAGTTCCAAAAGGATAAAAGGATATGCTCTTTAATAACGAAATTTGAATTCTGTGGAGGATTCTTAAAAATCTGGAAAAATTACATTTTAGTATATTTTCATAGTCACTAATTTTTTTAAAAAATTGCATTAATAGGATCCAAGATGGCCAAATAGGAACAGCTCTGGAGTGCAGTTCCCAGCAAGAACAATGCAGAGGGTGAGTGCTCACTGCATTTCCAAACAAGTTTTCACTGCCCACTGACCAGGAGATTCCCGGACCCAAAAGTGCCATGAGTTTTCAGCACGGCTGGTGCAGCGGGCTGGCGCACAGAAACTCACACAAATCTAGGTGGTCGTTTCAACTGGCGCCTGGAACGCCTGGGAGACAGAGCCGCCCATTCCACTGAAAGGGAGAGGGCTGAGACAGGGAACCAGGCGAACTGGTTTGGTGGGTACGACCCCCACAAAACAAGCAATCTGAAACGCTCTGGACTGAGAGTTTCGCAGCAAGCGCAGCTGGACCCAGGACAGTCCAGCCACTACCGAGGCAGTTTGCCAATACTGGGCAGTTCACATAGCAGCTGGGCAGAACCTGTGGCAGCTCAGCAACACCTCTGCTGGCAGACTGTGACCAGACTACTCTGTGTTGGGCAGGGCATCTCTGAAAAAAGACAGCAGCACGTCAGGAACTTAAAAATAAGGCTGACCTTCCTAGGTCAGAGCACCTGGAAAAAGAGGCGGTTATGAGTTCTGCTGCAGCAGACTTAAAGGTACCTGCCCAGCAGCTCTGCATGGAACAATGGAGCTCTCAGCACAGCACCTGAGTTCCTGTAAGGAACAGACTGTCTCCTCAAGCAGCTCCCCGACCCCTGTATACCCAAAGAGACACCTCATAAAGGAGAGCTCAGGCCGACATCTGGTGGGTACCCTTCTGGGATGAAGATAACGAAGAAGAAACTGGCAGCAACCCTTACTGTTCTGCAGCCCCCGCAAGTGATTCCCGGCTAAAGCAGGGTCTGGAGTGGACGTCCAGCAGTCCTGCAGTGGAGCAGCCTGACAGTTAGAAGGAAAACTAAGAAACAGAAAGAAGTAACTTCATCATCAACAAAAAGGGTGTCCACTCAGAGACCCCATCCGAAAGTCACCAACTACAAAGACCACAGGTAGATAAAGCCACTAAGATGGGAAGAAACCAGTGCGAAAAGGATGAAAACACCAAAAACCAGAATGCCTCTCCTTCTCTAAAGGATCACAACTCCTCACCAGCTAGGGATCAAAGATGGATGGAGAATGAATCTGATGAATTGACAGAAACAGGCTTCAGAAGGTGGGTAATAACAAACTTCTCAGAGCTAAAAGAACATGTGCTAATCCAATGCAAAGAAACTAAGAACCTAGAAAAAAGGTTAGATGAGATGCTAACTAGAATAAACAGCTTAGAGAAGAATACAAACGACTTGATGGAGCTGAAAAACACAGCACGAGAACTTCATGAAGCATATACAAGTTTCAACAGCCAAAATGACCAAGCAGAAGAAACGATATCAGAGATTGAAGATCAACTCAATGAAATAAAATTAGAAGGCAAGAATAGAGAAAAAAGAGTGAAAAGAAATGAACAAAGCCTCCAAGAAATATGGGATTATGTGAAAAGACCTAATCTATGTTTGATAGGTGTACCTGAATATGATGGAGAGAATGAATCCAAGCTGGAAAACACTCTTCAGAATATTATCCAGGAGAACTTCCCCAACCTAGCAAGGCAGGCCCCCATACCAGTCCAGGAAATACAGAGAATACCACAAAGATATTCCTCAAGAAGAGCAACCCCAAGGCACATAATTGTCAGATTCAGTAGGGTTAAAATGAAGGAAAAAATGCTAGGGGTAGCCAGAGAGAAAGATCGGGTTACCCAACCTATCAGACTCACAGTGGATCTCTATGCAGAAACCCTAAAAGCCAGAAGAGAGTGGGGGCCAACATTCAACATCCTTGAAGAAAAGAACTTTCAACCTAGAATTTCATAACCAGCCAAACTAAGCTTCATAAGTGAAGGAGAAATAAAATGGTCAAGCAATTGCTGAGAGATTTCGTCACCACCAGGCCTGCCTTACAAGAGCTCCTGAAAGAAGCACTAAACAAGGAAAGGAACAACCAGTACTAACCACTGCAAAAACATACTGAATTGCAAAGAAAATCAACATAATGAAGAAAATGCGTCAACTAATGGGCAGAACATCCAGCTACCATCAAAATGCCAGGATCAAATTCACACATAACAATATTAACCTTAATGTAAATGGGTTAAATACCCCAATCAAAAGGCACAGACTGGCAAATTGGATAAAAAGTCAAGACCCAACAGCGTGCTGTATTCAGGAAACCCATCTCCCACAAATAGGCTAAAAATGAAGGGATGGAGGAAGATTTATCAAGCAAATGGAGAGCCAAAAAAAGCAGGAGTTGCAATCCTAGTCTCTAATAAAATGGACTTTAAACTAACAAAGATCAAAAGGGACAAAGAAAGGCATTACATAATGGTAAAAGAATCAATGCATCAAGAAGAGCTAACAATCCTAAATATATATGCACCCAATACAGGAGCACCCAGGTACATAAAGCAAGTTCTTAATGACCTATAAAGAGAATTAGACTTCCACACAATAATAGTGGGAGACTTTAACACTCCACTGTCAATATTAGACAGATCAACGAGACAGAAAATTAACAAGGATATCCAGGACTTGAACTCAGACCTGGACCAAGTGGACCTAACAGACATCTACGGAAATCTCCACCCCAAATCCACAGAATATACATTCTTCTCAGCACTGCATTACACCCACTCTAAAATCGACCATATAATTGGAAATAAGTCACTCCTCAGCAAATGCAAAATAAAGGAAATCATAACAAACAGTCTCTCAGACCACAGTGCAATCAAATTAGAACGCAGAATTAAGAAACTAACTCAGAAACACCACAACTTCATGGAAACTGAACAACCTGCTCCTGAATGTCGACTGGATAATGAAATGAAGGCAGAAATAAAGATGTTCTTTGAAACCAACAAGAACGAATATACAATGTACCAGAATCTTTGGGACACATTTAAAGCAGTGTCTAGAGGGAAATTTATAGCAATAAATGCCCACCAGAGAAGCAAGGAAATATCTAAAATCAACACTCTATCGTCAAAATTGAAAGAGCCAGAGGAGCAAGATCAAAAAAACTCAAAAGCTAGCAGAAGACAAGAAATAACTAAGATCACAGCAGAACTGAAGGAGATAGAGACACAAAAAATCCTTCAAAAAAAAAAAAATCAATAAATCCAGTAGCTGGTTTTTTGAAAAGATCAACCAAATAGACTGCTAGACATATTAATAAGAAAGAAAAGGGAGGAGAATCAAATAGATGCTATAAAAAATGAAAAAGGGGATATCAACACAGATTCCACAGAAATACAAACTACCATCAGAGGTTACTACAAACAACTCTATGCATATAAATCAGTAAACCTGGAAGAAATGGATAAATTCCTGGACACTTGCATCCTCCCAAGCCTAAACCAGGAAGAAGTCAAAACCTTGAAGAGACCAATAAAAAGGACTGAAATTGAGGCAGTAAATTAATAGCCTACCAACCAAAAAAAGCCCAGGTCCAGATGGGTTCACAGCTGAGTTCTACCAGACATACAAAGAGGTGCTGGTACCATTCCTTCTGAAACCATTCCAAACAATCCAAAAAGAAGGAATCCTTCCCAAGTCATTTTATGAGACCAACATCATTCTGATACCAAAGCCTGGAAGAGACTCAACAAAAAAAGAAAACTTCAGGCCAATATCCATGATGAACATCAATGCAAAAATCTTCAATAAAATACTGGCAAACCAATTGCAACAGCACATCAAAAAGCTTATCCATC